GGCGATATACGAGTCGATTAAAAAGTCGAATTCAAGTCTGAGCCGACAAAAGAGGAAACCACTGGAGGACGCGATTGAGAGGGTTCTGGATTTCCGCAAGGAAGAAGAGGCCGAATCTGAGGACAGCGACGACTTGTTGGAGCAGGCTGAAGAATACAAAGTGAGTTTTACCTTCCGTCTCCTTCACATGACGTTCCCTTTTTTCTGACATCACCTCCCTTTTCATAGCCGGAAGATCGATTTCTTCTCAACAGACAAATGACGAAGCACTGGAACGTCGCCCCGGCGGTGCCCACTGCCCAGGGGTCAGACGGCAAAAGCACCAAGAAACGCCGCATCTCACCTGAGCCCGAGGCTGCCAACGGCAATGGCAACAGTAACGGCACCGGCACCGGTAATGTCAGCGACGCCTCGGCCATTGTCTCCAAGTCGTCAAAGTCCAAGACGGGCGACGCTTCAGAGACCGCTCAGGCGGCCGTCACGAAGAAGGCGCTCAAGGCGGCCAAGTACGGCCCCGAGCAGATCCCTCCGGGTTCGGTCGTTCTCGGCGGCGTGCGTGGCATCATCGAGGAGCTGCAGCGGTACGTCTTTGCGCGCGCGCGGAAGCCGGAGGATTTCGCATGCTTTGGAGAGCAGCCGATGGGAATCCTCATCTCAGGACCCCCGGGCACGGGCAAGCAGTCTCTCGTGCGGTCGCTTTCTTGGAGGACGAGAACGCCTGTTATCTCTATCGGGCGATACCTTAGCGAGACACGGTCGCCTGAGAAAGTGAGCAAGATTTTCACCGACGTGCTGGACGAGGCGAAGAAGATTGCGCCGTGCGTCGTCCTGTTCGACCACCTGGACGAGTACATGGTCAAGTCGGGCAACAGCCACAGCGAGTTCGACCATGAGGTCATTTCACAGCTCAAGCTCGGTCTCCGGCGCTTGCGGGACTGGGAGCGTGAGGGGCAACGGGTGGTGATCGTGGGCACGACGAGTAAGCTCGAGCTCGTCGACCCGACGCTGCGGAGACCAGACTACTTTGCGCAGACCATCACGGTCAAGGTGCCCAACACGGACGCCCGAGAAGAGATATTCAAGGCCCTGACAAGAGAGCTCGATATACCCTCCGAAGTCGACTTCCAGGCCCTCGCCGTCCGCACGCACGGCTTCGTCGGCGACGATATCCGCGCCGTGATCCAGGTCGCCAACCGCAAGGCTAGCGACCGCTTCATGGATGTAGAAGAGGCGCGCGCCAGGAACACCATCCAGGCCGAGAGAATGGATACGGAGAGCTCCTTCTCGCACGCGGATAACGCCGCCCGCGACCTCGACGACGCCTGCCTGTGGTACGACTATATCGAGCACCCATCCTACACGACCCCGACACGCGTCCACGTAAGCCAGCAGGACTTTGTCGACGCCATCGCCGAGCACACCCCTTACATGCGCCGCGAAGGCTTCAGCTCCATCCCCAGCACCTCCTGGTCCGAAGTCGGCGCCCTGCACTCCGTCCGCGCCGCCTTCCAGGTCTCCATTGTCCGGCGCATCAAGGAACCCCTACTCTTCCAGAAATTCGGCAAGCAGCGGCCCGCGGGCGTGCTCCTCTTCGGCCCTCCCGGCTGCGGCAAGACGCTCGTCGCAAAAGCCGTCGCCAACGACGCGCAGGCGAGCTTCATCCTCATCAAGGGCCCCGAGCTGCTCAACAAGTACGTGGGCGAGTCGGAGCGCGCGATCCGCGAGCTGTTCACGAGGGCGAAATCCTGCGCGCCGTGCATCCTCTTCTTTGACGAGATGGATTCGCTCGTGCCCAAGCGGGAGAACACCACCACCGAGGCGGGCGCCCGCGTCGTCAACGCGCTGCTTGCGGAGCTCGACGGCGCCGGGGATAGGGGTGAGGTCTATGTTATCGGCACGAGTAACCGGCCCGACATGATTGACCCGGCCATCCTGCGCCCCGGACGTCTTGACAAGCTGCTGTTTGTGGATTTGCCTACCGAGGACGAGCGCGTCGATATCTTGAGGACGATTGTGCGCAACGGCATCGGTGGAGGAGTGCAGCCAGAAGGTCAGGGTGACGGTGATAACGACGTCGTGGACGTCGAGGCGATTGCGCGGGATAAGCGGTGTGCCGGTTTCAGCGGTGCGGATCTGTACGGCTTGTATAAGAATGCGCTGGACGAATGTGTTTTGCGGTACGAGGGCGGAGAGCCGGCGTTGATCAAGAGTGACTGGGAGGCTGCGCTGAGCAAGACGAAGCCGAGTGTGCCGAACCCGGAGACGTATAGGAGGCTGGCGAATAAGTTGCATCATCAGACGTGAGGAAGGGCAAGGATGGGTCTAGAGGTGGACTGTTAGACGAAGAAAAGTTAACTGATAGAGAAAAGTTGAATTTGTCTTTTCATTGCTGCATTTGTTATTTGGGGGGTTCTGGTGTCTTTTAGAGAGCAATTGGGCTCATATCATGGGTCCTCACCCATACGGTTAGGTACCTTAGGTACTGAAGGAAGCCGAGTGAAAGTCTCGACTGTATTGTTGAACATCTATTCCAAGAATTTGGCCAAGCTACGTACACTTCGCGTAGACAAGCGAACTGCCGAACCTCCCTCTACATGGCTTGTCCTCATCTCATAGCTATTGCTCAAACATCTCATCGCAACTGATATAAACAAGAACTTCGTATTACCTCTCCGCCACCATCTTGGATCTCATGGCATGGGAATAATAAGAAAAGCAGCAGACATTGAACATAGCTTGAGTCAGAGAAGGAGCCAACACCATCACCAGAGGCGATGAAAACAATAGGGCCGGACCCAGCACCCTACTCACCCGCGCTTCTCCTACCCAAAAAAAACCAGATACGCCAATAAAAAGGGATGCCAAAAGATTCATACTAAGCCAGCGACCCCTTTACAATAAGAACTGAGTTTGATGACAAAAATGAGCTGTCTGTGGCATTATGTAGGACCACCAATTTTTATGAGCACAAACGTACTCGAGCTTGCAACCCTTGCGGGACCCATTACGCTTTTTGCCATTCCATCACTAGGTCATAGACACATCAGACGCTGCTCATACCCTTCCTCGAAATTTTCTCGCCTATGGAGCTCTAGGGCTGGCGGGGAAGGTGTGATGGTAGATGTGCCTGCTTATTCTGTCTGGGAAGGCTGCTGGTCGGCACTCGCCCTCTGAATACGATCAAACGTTGTGGGACTGAGAGTGAGTCAATATCAATTCAGTCTCTACCTATTCAATCTATGAATATCTTTACATGAGGTAAAGTAAGTTAATTCTTTACCGGCTGGTTCTAGCTAGTAGCCGAGGGCTCGGTCGATATACTTTCAGAACCTTATGACAGGGGATGAACCTCGAGAGCATAGTAGTCGTCACTGGTAAAGACATATATCGTAAAAGCATAGAGAAAGTAGTTAGGGAGTAATGATTTGGGTTTGTATGGCTAACTGGGATAGCCGGCAGGAATGGCCATCGTGAACAGTACCTAGGTAGAGAATGGGAACCAAACAAAAAAAGCCAACAAACAATGAACCGATCGAAGCATCGAACATGGACCCCGAAATAAACCGGAAACTTCACGGTTCAACCGGGGCCTCTACAGCTCAGAACCCCTCGACCATGCGGCCCATTGCTTGTTGGTGATATCCAGAGATGAATTACTTCTCATAAGGGGCAGGAGCGGCCAATGAGGAAAGCCTCAGGCACAGGTTTCTGCCTATATGCCAGGCAGGATGCAAGATGGGCCACAGGAAGCGGTCTATATCATCTAAGTAGGTTTTGATCCAGTGACCTAGAGTGTTAGAAAGCCGATGTTGGAAACGTTCTTCAGCACTTAAGGGGTGTGCGAAATAAAAACGATTTTGACGATAGCTTCAATTGCACGTCGTTGTTTGATCACCCATCGGCCAGATGTTCTATGGGGGTTTCAATACATATTAAACTTGCATTTGCTCTCCTTTCTCTCCCGACTCCAAGTCGTCAACGATGGTCTATACGGGGCAGACGGACGTACTAGGGATTCCAAGATTGGGCAGACATGCACACCACATTCAGACGTACAGACCTTCTGGGAATTACTTAGCAAACCGAATGTTTCCAAGCACGAGAAAGTGATTTTGATCACATTTTGGCCTATTCTTATTGTGTGTTAACACATCATCTCGGACTTGCCATCTGGTTGCAAGACTACTCGTAGAATAGGTAGCTGTAGCAAGAACCAGGGGCTGAGCGCACGTTCAGTGTCAATCGCATCCCCAATAATTACCATTTACCTCATCTCAGACCTTGCTCTTTAAAGGTTCAACTGGACAATAAGATGATAGTTCAACGCAAGAGTCGGGGAAAGTCCTCCTGCGGACGACGACGATCGTGTGATTGGGTCCAGACTCACTGACCACTGAGAGTGGAGAAGTGACAGTCGTCGACACCGGTCGGGGGCATGCAGAAGATTATACTTTTTCTGATGCTTGCAGAACGACTGCTTGAGCCGCAACGACCTTCAAAAACCGCTATTTTGGAACAATTGACCGACATTTTCCCGTTGCATCCCGTAACACGTTCCTGACATTCATGATTCGGTGACAGGACGGGACCTATGACGAGGTGCCAGGATGACAACACACAGCGAGTCATCTGACTGGCTGAAGGGGACAGAGTGGCCGCACTACTGCACTACCTGAGTAAGCAGGATTTTTTTTCTTTTTTGGCCCCAGCCAGCTCCGGGTCGCAAGGCGCGCCAGATCTGACATCATGGACACGGTAATGATTTGCAGGCACGGATGCTACAGGAACAATCAAGAATGGCACGCGCATATGTCTGTGGCGTTTGTTTCGCAAAATGAAATTTGTTGTATTACAACCGTCTTTGAAAGGGGAGAATTTTCGAGAGAAAATGGGCTTGTTCAGTGAAGCCCCCAAAACACACTGTTCTAGAGTGGTCTATTGGTACAAAACGCAAATCGCCAGTTCGTCTAATGCAATCCTATCGTTACACATCAATCCATCTATTTGGTGACATCCTTGAGGTAGCTGTTGTCATGGTCAGTGAGTGAGTCTTGAGTGAGATGTTGAGTGACAGTGAAAACGTACGCAATGAGGTCGTTGCGGTCCTTCTCCTTCTTGAGACCACCGAACGCCATCTTGGTGCCGGGAATGTACTTCTTGGGGTTCTCGAGGTACTCGAACTGTACGAAGGCTCGTGGTTAGCAGAGCAATCAGATTGAACGTCGTCGGAAGAGCTTACGAGAGTCTGGTCGTTCCACTCGATGCCCTTCTTCTTGTTGGCGTCGGTGTAGGAGTAACCCTCGACGGAACCGGTCTTGCGGCCCCAAAGGCCGTGCAGAGCAGGGCCGATCTTGTTGCCGCCGTCGGCCTCGACGGTGTGGCACTGAGCGCAACGGGTCTTGAAGAGGTTGGCACCCTTCTTAGCGTCACCTAGATTCCTCGAGGTCAGTTCACTGGTCTGGGTAGGTGATGTGTATTCCGCGACAGATTTCGTTGTTCGCTTGGATTGAGTCCCGATGAGAGCCCGACCACCCATAGTGAGCACTCGTCATGAGCGTATACGCTGCTTCGCCGCCCCTGTCGACGCCTCCTTGTGTCTCGCTCATCGGGCCCCTGTTTTTTGCCCCATCAAGCGAGATGCCAGGAAATTGGCGCAAGATGTCGGAGGTGCTAGGAGAAACGAATCGCAGAGGACGTAGGTGTCGCACGAGGTGAAATCGAAGCCGGATTGGCCCGCGAAGCAGTTCCGAACCGTTCCAGACTCAGCGAGGGTAACTTCGCTGCTCAATGGCTCGTGGCGGATTGAGGCGCTCGGAGGGTTGGGCAATCATCGGGATCCGCAAAGCAAAGCGAAAACGGACGGAGAAGACGGCGCGCGCGCGTGAGGTGAGAGAGACTTACCACCAGCCATTTTGACGGATTATAGGATAATTAAAAGGATTCGAAAAGGGGTATCAGGTAGAAGGTGCAAAAGAAGAATGTCTTTTGCAGGTCGTCAAGTAGGTCGTTTGGGGTGTAGATGGTTGAGAGTGAGGAATGGAGGAAGAAGGGGGAGAGAAAAACTTTTAGAATCGGATCGGACCAAGTAAAGAAAAAGACGAGACGACAGTACGGCAAAAAAAGGCTATCCGATTTTAATTATGACAACAACCCGGCGGAAAGGCACCTGGCGACGTACCCAGCACACGCCGCAACGAGAGAAAAAAAGCCTGGAATGAGCTCACTGAACCTGGGTACCGCGGCGCACAAGCCACACAGTGTGGCGACGCGACCGCCAATCAGATGTGCAGCATTGGTCAGAAGGTGATGCGTCCGGGGGTCGCTACCCGGGCAAAACCGGATACTGCTCCCGGAAGAACGCTTTCTCCGCTGCGCCTCGGTGTTTTGGTGACGGGACCAGCTCGCTTTTTGGCCAGGTCAACGACTCAACCAACGGGGCGGCGCGGCGGGCCAGCGGGGACCTCTGTCGGTGTCCCTGCCACTAGCAATTTTTTTGGTCTTTTATCTCTCACTTGTTCCTCTTAGGCTGTCGCCAACATCCCGTTTGCCGAGCTTCGACTGGGATTCCTCAATCTGCCCATATCCGTGCTTTCTGGCCTCTTCCACCTCGGCGTCTGTTTTTTCCAGATCCCGAACTGTCAATCTTGCAGCCAATAATAGCTGTAGTGTTAATGCTGATGCTGCTACTCCGTACACACGAGACAGAGTAGCCGTATGGTCATCGCGATCGTCCATTGAAGTGAGCAAGGGTGGTTTTTCCTATGGGTCAGGTACGTACCCGTACATGCGCCCAGATGCGCGATGGGGGTAGTTCGGCGACCCATTAGCTTCCAGCCTCTCATCATACCTTACCTGAGCTCCACTGTAACTTTTTGGAGCAAAGAAATTCTTCTGGAGCTTCGATTTTTCCAGCCCCGACCGATCCTGCCGGCGCGCACCTGATGATCCCGTTGATCCATACCAGAGCCTCAATGACGCTGTGAAACAGACGCCTGACCCCCGAAAGTCTAAACCATCGCCGTCCAGGTGACCTACTTTGTTCCTTGACCGCCGTCCTTCGCAACGTCGGCAAACATCGGGCAAGGCAACGTTGCGAGGGTCCAGCACCATTTCTTTGCCGCCGCTGCTTTTATAGTGGCAAACCAACAATATCAATGACGACCTCGGCCACAACCCTCCTCCCCAGGTTCCTCCTCCCGGCCTTGAGCCCCATGTGGCGCGTAGCAGCGACCTCTACCGGTCGGCCGGCCGTAACGGGGGCCTCGGCGGCGCTCCGCCGGAACGCGGTCTGGACGATTCGGTACGCCTCGTCCAAGCCGACAAAGGCGGGCCAGAAGGGACCCCTCATCCTCGAGAAGCCGGCCAAGTTCAACCCGCCCTCCCACGGCGCCCGGTTGCCCAAGAACAATGGCCCGAAGCACTATGGCGGTCCGCTCAGCAACCAGGAAGTTCGCGCCCAGCGCACACGCGAGTATCCCGGCATGATGGCTCCCGAGGGGACGTGGGCGCATTGGTTCTTCAACAGCCGCAAAGTCCACCTCTTCATCTCCCTGGTCAGTAGAACTCAGTGTTCCTCCACTGGCAGGAACACACATATGCGGGCCGTAGCTTGTTTGGACCAATGGGTTTAGCTAACATTGGATCCTCTAGGGAACACTCACGACGCTGGCCATCTCGACGTTGGTCCTCAACTTTTCCCAGACATCCCCGTTCAAGCACCTCCTGCCCCCCGCCTCCGAGATCTGGAGCAGCCCCATCCAGTTCATCCGCACATGGGTACATGTGATGCAGCTCCACGAGCGCGACCGTAACGAAAAGGCCATTGCCGCGCACTCGCGCCACACCGACGACGTCGCGAAGCGTCAGTACTACCGCAAGGTCCACGGACTGGACAAGGAGAACCCCATTGCCAACTTTTTGGGCATGAAGGAAGAGTCGGAGGAGGACAAGGCTGTGGCCGCTGCCGCGATGGAGGCCTCGCCCGTGGCTGGAGACGCCGAGGCGACGGCACCTGCAGAGAACGAGCAGAGGAAGAAGTGGCTTGGCATCTTCTAATTAAGATAAGAGAAGAGAAACCCATCCATGTGTAAGATGTAACGGGGGATGAGCACGCTATTTTTGTAATATACCCTCCACCGAACCATGTACAACATGACATTACAAACCAGAACCGCCAATTGGTATCATGACTTTTGTCTTTCCATTGCCCATCCTGACATATCGCAAAACGTTAAACCCCTTCCTCAAGCCCTAGGGATCGAACCCTTAGGCCAGCTCTACCGCGGCAATCGCCTCCAGCACCTCGTCCGCGACGCCCCCCTTCTCCAGAACCTTGGAGATCATCCCCTCAATCACGTGTACCTTGGTACCTCCTATAGGCGGCTTCCAGACTCCCTCCGCGGCCTGTCCCTGCGCAGCCGGCGGGACTGCCGGTGCCTTTGACGGTGTGCCCGCAAGACCGGTAGCCGGATTCACAGAGTTGGGAACGCCGGGCGCCGTCAACCTCGAAGGCGGGTCGACCGTCCGCACGGAGAGCAGCTTCAGCTGGCGACCGTTAACGTCCATTCCGTCAGTCGAGGTGGCTGTCTTCTCCTCGGCGACCGAGACCGCCAACGCCGACTCCGCGACGGCGAGCTCCTCGCGCGCGGGGTCGAAGATGACGTTGCCGCCGACGGCGATGACGAGCAGTGTTATGGGCGGGCGCGAGCCGCCGTTGACTGGTGCGCTGCCGTCGCGGGGGTACAGGAACGTCGAGGCCTGCCAGTCGTCGTCGAACATGGGGTCTTCGTCGCCCTCTGACTTGAGGCGCGGGAGGCGGGTTGCGAGGAGCGAGAGGTGGGTTGTGAGTGAGAGGAGGGGCAGCGGGTAGGATAGAGGCGGGGAGATGAGGAGGATCTATTGGGATAGTGTGTTAGCGTCTAGTCTTCAAAGAGACAACGGTGTGTCTGTGTGTGTTGGGGGAGGAGATTGGGGGACAAACGTCTAGGTAGAGCTTCCAGTGGAACCGACTGTTGATCCGTAGCTTCTTGGTAAACTCTCCGTCAGCGAGCAACGCTTCGCTGAGCATGTTGGCAAGGAAAACAGTCGCGGCGTCGTCCTCCCTGGAGGCCGGGATCTCGACCGTTATCTCGAGCCAGTCGTTGTTGCCCTTAACCTCCTCCTTCTTGCCCGCGTCTTTCCTCGTCTCTGGAGACTCCTCGCCGTCTACGTCTGCGCCAAACGGGCTGGCCGTCTTCTCGATCTCCGCCTTGACGCCTACGATGGCCTCCGTGCCATCGGAGAAGCAGATGCGCGCGCTGCCGTTGGTGCCGGGAAGGATGCCCGTCTCTGCGGTCAGGGGGCGGAACTGGTTTGCCTTGCGGCCGTCTGGGCGGATGGGCGGCGTGAGGGAGAGGGTCGAGTGGAGGTAGGCGAGCTCTGCCGGGGAGAGCAGAACCTGCTGTGCAGACGCCATTGCTTTCTCTAGGTGTGGGGTTTTTTCTCTGTTTTCGTCCCTGTTCGCAGACTGGGTATAGTACTCGCGGAGTTTCGTGTAGTTCCTGTTCGAGCTTGCAACAGCTCAATGTCTCGTCAATTGGTCGTGGTTTCAGGGAAGCTCGATTTTTTTGGCGGGATGTGGTCGCAAAAAGTTGGTAGGATTTGGGCTTTCTACCGAGCAAAGTCAAAGGAAGCAGGGGTTTTTTGATGGTGGGGTCCGCGGGGTGTGGGGCCGGCCGGTGCGAGCTGTCCGGATCGGTGGTTGTGGCGTGAGCTGTGGCTTGAACGGACGTCCACGATCAACGGCTTTACACGGGTTGAGCTTCACACGTCCACGTTCTTACCTCCAATATGCCCACTTGGACGAATTCATTCTCGCATTATGATTGAGGAAATATTGGGGACCAGGGAGCTTCTGCATTCCGCTCAAGTGAGCACTTAGAGACGCGTCCGCGGGGAGGAACATTCAACACAAAACATGGAGTTTGGATCTTCAGCTCTACAGATTATCACCATACAGGTTTTTTCCAAAGTTTCTACTCTGACATATCTCTACACCGCACTGCTTAGCGTAACTTCATGTTATCATGCTATCTTTGTCCACTAAGATCGAGACGGGATTGCCAGTCTCAAAGGCATCTAATCGATCCCACGAAAATGGTTCTGATGTCTGGAGGCTAAGAACTCTTCTATAGAGTCTCAGGAGCTTACTTACATCTGGGTCTTTAGATATCACGTTTGCGTCAGATCTTTGAATAGTTCTGAAGATATACTTGGTACTAGTCAAACACGAATTCATGGCGCTTGTCGAGCTCTCACTTCCACAATACGGCCACTCAGTCTAGGCTTGAGAGCCATAGTATGATAACGCCAGTCAACGTATCCTATTCCGTTAATCTTGTGCTCATGCCAGACTGTTCCAGTTCTCAATTCGGCTGTTGCCATGGGCATGGCATAGCGCCTTTCAAGATCGCCCATATCAGATCGCAGAGAAGACACCACCCTCAAAGGAAAGAAATCTCGAAAATTGCCAACGACATTGGAGGAAACCCGTCATATGCGACGAAATTGAGGAAGCAACAGAGTTCTATTCCATATCCTTGCTGGTCGTGCCTGCTATCTTATCTAATCTACTCGGAAACCTTCATTTACAGTTGGCAGCCGGCTCAGACAAAGCTTAAGAAGTGATAGCGACTGGCAGATCTGAGCCACCAAACTATAAACGATCCACTTCAAAGATAATTAATAAGAGTATACGTGCGGTATGTAAACTCTCATGAAAGCTGTAGGGAGCTGTCACCACGGAATACGATGCATTGTCTATCCTAGGGTTACGAGCCAAGACTTGAATTCGTTTTCCCCCCGATTCACTCACGATGTCTACACTATGCCAATGCTTCTCTACATTTAACTCTATGTAAACGGCTAGTGAGACACAGCTTTGTGCTCGCCAATATTTGAGTAATAGTTCCTACTCATTGACTCGCTTTCCCGATGATCTCTTGATACTCAGATATACCGGACTGAGTATCACAGCTATGGAGAGAATATCTACGTGATCATGCCTACTCCCAGAGAAGGATGGAACAGCTCCTCGATCGATGGAGGAGACGATAAACTGCAGCAGTCGAGTAATTGAACCACTGCAAGTGACTTCAAAGGTCGCGATTGCCTCCCTACTACTTCCCCAATAGCGAGCGTGATTAGAAAGTTTGAATCTCTCTCAGTGGTACTAGTTGAACAGTACAATACCTCTCACGTTTGGGAATGTTCACTGGGACTTACTTTTCTTCTCGTTAAGTCGGGGCTTTCCCACACTCTTGCTTTCTCCCTTTTCTAGCCTCAAGAATCTGATGCTCATCCATGACGACGACACCAGAGGCCCGAAGCGACTGGGGAGACTCTTCCCGCCGCTCTACGAAGCGACGTATATGCAGCTGAAGTGAAACAGAAATTCAGGCTAGCTTTGAGTCTCTTGCGAACATTAACACCGGAGGTAACTTGTCATCATCGTAGACACTTCAGTCAAGCATTTGCACAGCCAAGCTGAGAAAGCGTTGTCTTTGCCACGGAAAAGAAAAAAGAAGGAAAGAGCCCCAGATAGCCAATTGCAACCCACCTTCCCTTGCCATCCTCGTTGCTGTCAGCAGTCATCAAACCCTCAACCCCCACGCTGGACGAAGCTATTCCAGGCTAATGTCTGATTCACTTCACACTCCTTCCAGAGCGTGTCTGTATCTCGACGAGCCGCCTCTACGTTGACCCTCCCTCCATCGCTTACAAGGCACATCCAGTAGCCAAATTCATGAGGTAGAAGACATTCAGCTGTGGAGTTCCATCCTTGTCATCGACGAAGTATCTTCTCGATTCCACGATAACTCCGGAGCAAACCCCGAGCTCCAATGGCCGTCATCCCCCGGCAGGGTCTGATCTAGGCCCTCGATCATGCAAAGCCGGTCTAACGGAGAGACGTGACGGAGGCCTGCGCTTTCATCTGAGAAGGGAGGTCACACCTATGATGGAGATGGAAACACCCACGGTCGAGGATTGCATGATCGTGGCGCATCATCTGTCGGGTGACTGCAACTGTGCAGGTAGAGGGACAGAGTGAGACGCCATGGGTAGGTCTCTGCCCTCAAGTCTTGTATTTATGCCAGTCGGCGCGGTGCAGGTTCGTGCGACATGCCAACTTGTCTTCCCGCCATCCATGAACACTCACTCCGAGCTCCTAATTCCAGCATGTGAACATGTCTTCAGGGGCTGTTCACTCACTCGCAAAGGAACCCGAATCAGTCTCTGCGATATTGCGTGAGTTTGCCAATATGGCACCATGAATGATAGAGGACAGGCAGCCTTCCAGACGCATAGGTGGTCATATCGCTTACTGGATTCGAGACCCAGAAGACCACAGTATTCGAATTGTTTCTGTTTCGTCACCGTGATGCTTACAAGAGAATCTCCCCCGCAGCTAGACAAAGGGGAGGAATTCTTCGCACTCACCAACATGGACAAATTTGAGAGAGCTAGAAAAAAAGTCTCTCCAACAAACAAAAGAACCCTAGTAAAAACCCCGAAATCTATGACCCGTACGATCTTCACCCCTGGCGCCATCTAGATTGCCCGACCATCGCTTCACCCATCCCCGACGTCGACGTGTGAATACACTAACGAACATCCAAAATTGCACTCCTTAGTCCTCCTCCGAGGCTGATCTCCTCCCTAAGATGGCACTCGGCAGCCAGACCGATCTGTCTCTAACCGAGATACGCTTCCTTCATCGTGATGAGACCTGCATGAAGAAAACGATCCGGTCGATTCGTGGAGCACAGCGCGTGTACGGGTCCCTCCGCTCTTGCACGTTCACACTAGGAGACGTACGTCCAGCTGCTCTGCCTATCCCAACTGCGCAGCAGCAGAAATCCTTGCTCGCCGGAGAGTAAGCCATCACGCCAAAAGGCCTCACGGTCCACGGATGCTGGCATTCTCGACGCGATCTCCCGTCTCTCCCCTCATCGTCGGCATAGCTGAAAGGCGTCTCGGTGGCCTTGCACGACCCAGAGGCTAGGCAAGCCGAGCTGGTTTGATGCGCGGGCACCCGCATCCTCGTCCCATCCTCGGCAGACCGAAAGGCAAGGGAGGAGAAGAAGCGCCGCCACAGCTCGCCGCCGTGCTATCATCCCCGAATCGAAAGCTGCGACCTCCCGTCTTTTGCTTCCTGATATTCCAGGTAGCCGTAGCTTAGCTTCTTCCCCTCCTCCTCCAAAGCATCAAGCACCGAGCTCCCCCCATCGCTCCACATCCCACCGGTGTGGAGCCCAGCTCCCGCGCCGGAGGCTCGCCTTACCGGCCAGCAACATGCGGGCATGGCATGGCGTGGAGAGAGAAAGAAAAAGAAAGCCCGGAGACGGGGGGACCCTCATCGGTGAAGATTGGCAGTCTGTGCGACAGCTCACCGGCTGTTTCCGTCACAATCCGTGCTTTCTTTTTCTTCTCAAATTCTCAATTCTTGTTTCTCCCCAACCAACTGCCGTTGTGAATCCAAAAAGTCGAGCGCCATGGCAAAAAAAAGTGCCAGCTTGCCAAGGGGTGTATGATGTATCACCTCCGAGACGCCCCCGGTCTCTGTTTCTTTGCAAACTCCCATCGATCATACCAGTATCTTGCCCGCGGCCGCAGCCCCTGTGCGCCCCTGACTCTGGGCTCCTTCTCAAATTCTCACAACTTCAAAGCCGTGTCTACCCATCTGGACAAGATCAGCAATCTGTATCAAATAGCCGGTTAATGTCCGTTAGAAACAAGAGCTCAAGGGGTGTGTTTTTCTTCACTGATCAACAAACCCCGAACTCCTGTCCACCTCGAACAGGGGGGGCAGTGAGATGACAGGGGAAGTAGAGTATGAACGGACGGTCTAGGCCCGGCGGCTCGGGAGATGGACGGGTTCCATTGATTGGATCCCCCCAAACACAACTCCGTGGTTCCTCGCCGTTAGGTCCGGCCGGGGCCTTGCAAGGAAGGCCGCAAGAGAGATAGAGAGAGAGAGGGAGCGCGCGCCCGTCGCGGACGGAATCCGGCCCAAATTTCAGAGGAATCCCCATTCCCCAATGAAAGCTCGCTGACAGCTTGCCAGGGCTCTCATCCTACCCCCCGGTAGCCCAGAAATGAGCCTCAAGATGAAGTGATGAAAAGCAGTGTTGGTGATCTGTAAGCCAACCAACAATAGCTCGACAGCGCCCGCTCTCGAGCGAGAACTGGACTGCATTAGCAAGGATCGATTCCCCTTGACCTTGGTCCCAGCCAGAGGGAAATGCCCCTGGCAGATTCGGCAGGAAACGAAATAGCAAAAAGAAATGCCGAAGCAGGAACGAAGATGACCACCTCTCATTGGACTGCTGACCGGGCTTTACCTCCTTATTCGCCAGGGCTGGACCGGCTCACGGCTCACCTGGCTCGGTGACCTTTTCCCCCACTAACCCATCATGGATCAAAGATGGAGGGGTGTTTTCTGCGATAAGAAATATCCCTTGAGGCTGGCTGACCCGACGGTGAGATGATGGTTGCCTCTTGCAAAAAAAAAAAAAAAAAAAAAAAAGCAGGTTGAGAGCAGGAAAGTTTCTGCTTCATCAGGAGGACGATGGCTAAGGGCCAGGTGAGCCAGAATCGGTTCTATCGTTTCCCAAAGAGGTGTGTATGAGAGACCACCAGCAACACATAAGCCGCCTGCCTTGTCATCAGCCCCCTTCCTGCGCCTTTCCTGCTCACGGTGTGGCCCGGTCAGCCCGGTCTGATGCAGGCCACACCTTCAATAGTCCAAGTCGGGACAGCACCAAGCCGGAGTGGGGAGCCCACAGGCGTGGAACGGCTGGATGTGGACGTGAGTGTAGGAAGAATCTTAGCTGAGCGTCTATTGTGTGTACTTTTGCCCCTACATTGGCTTGGGTGGCGAGAAGGAGAAGGAGATGGAAGGAGGAGGAGGCCGCAGAGGGAAATGACCCTACCCTACACTTGGCTCTGGGAGGCAAGATGGGCTGTTGAATGTTTGGCGTCGAGTGACTGAGTGACTGGTCGACGATGGCTGCACAGTTGAAATGGAGGGGTCGCAACCACCACACACAAGATTGGTGCAGAAGTATGGGAGGCAAGCCCGGCGCGAGGGTGTCTGCAAGGTTTAGCCCCCCCTTTCTCCTCACCCTCTCTCCCTACCTAGAAATGGGACGACAGTGGTGTCGATGGTCGGAGTTCGATGGTGGTGGCCGGGAATCTGCACACTCGTGCATCCCGTCACAGATGCGTGCCTCTCCTTTGGGACAGAGCGTGGGAGGAGGAGAAGGGGGGAACAGGCCACATGGCGCCGTGGGCAGAATAGATAGCTAGTTCAAGACAAAGCTGAAGGCTTTTTTGGAGCGGACCTTCTTCTCACTCTCGTCGACCGGCGATGGTTGCTTGGTGGCGTTAGACTTGTCATTTCCTCTTGCTTTTCGATTCTAGTCTAAGCACTTGGTTGTCTGCATATCGGCGTGGTTTCCAAGCAAGGGGTGGAGGGGAATGGTTCGATTGGATTTGGATGAGTGAGGATGGTCTCTCGTTCATGCTTCTTGTCTTCCTTTCCTTGTTATTGTACGCTGCCGAGACGCTGAGAGAGAGAATGTTTGACATTTCGCCACAAGAAGAGAAAACACGCCCACGAAAGAAGAAGAAAGCTGAGACTTACGAGGCCAACGGCGTCGAAGCGACCCTGCGGCGCGTGGTTTCGCGTTCCAGACGGGACACCACCCAACGGCGTCTTAACACCGGAACCGTTTGAAAAGAAAGGGTAGAATAATACCTCCATAGCAGAAGCGAGATGCAATACATGCCACTTGTAAAGTTGTAGATCCCTAGCTTCACACCAGCAGTCGATCAACGTAGGTTACGTAACATTCACAGCGCGCAAGGCGAAAAAATAAAAGACTCAAGGAGAGGATGACCAGAGAGATGGTGTCGTCTATCACGATGTTTCCGAGACATTGCAACGCCCTCTCAATTTCCAAAGGCATACCTACCATCTTCGAATAGGCGCAGCTGATTAGACCCAGGCGGTTGAGACGGAACCAAAGGCACGTACTCCTTTTCGCCTGCTACGACCCTACGATCCTACTACCCCAACCTCACTTTCATTTCGTCGACGGGGGGCAGGCAAAATGCAGGACAACTCTTGCGTAACTCCAAAAAAATTGTGAGATGATATGGACGTATAGCACGATCACCGGCAGGCTCAAGGACCATTAAAGAAGTGATGAATGATTGGATACTCGCCGCTGTCGTCAGTTCTAGCCTCCAGGCCTCTGCAACCCTCCCTTCCCCCTCACAAAAGTTGACAGTTCTCGGAGGGCGCCGCCAGGGTATCACGGACCAACTGCGATGCGAGGGTTACGAGCCTCCCGAGCTCTCACCAGTGACCGAACCCATCATTGCCTTGCCTGCCTGTCTGCCTGCCCCAGAAACAGTCAGGACTGCGGTACCATTCGTGTAACACCAAATCCCGAACCCCTCTCGCCCAAAGCATGTCGAAATAATTGAGCGATGGACAACTCGCCCCCCTCATTCGAGTCGACTTGACGTTTCGAGTAACGTGAAAATGACATAGATAACAAGAGTTATCAGCTGGATGATAATGGCTCAAAGACCATACATGAAAAAGAGTCCCACAATGCCAAACTACCCGCATATCAAGTTCCTATCAACAAGGCCTCGCAGACCGAGACAAGTTTGTTTACTGCCCGCAGTCCAGTCCCACACAAAAAACGCAACGCCCGCCCGCTCGCCGCCGTCGCACCCCGCAACTTTTGTCAGTTATCACGACCGTTGCGTCAGATAGTCCTAGTCCTAGCACCATAAAATATTCCTTTCGTTTTCTGCCCGGACCAGGCGTGGCCAGGTGAAGTAAGCGCTGTCCGAAGCGTCGTAGAGCCCTCCCCCCCCAAGAAAAACCCCTTCTCTTCCCCCACACCCCCTGGAATTAAGCAGCAACCAGGCTAGAACGGCAGTGTCGGTCCTGTCGGATACGATAGTGTCCGGAGACTAGGCTGGGGGTGTCGGTTTGGTTTGCCAAGCCACGCGTCCCTTTCACAGTCAATCCCTCTCAGTCTCTAGAGTCCTAGACCCTCTGGAGTTTGCTAGTCCGAAATACCTCTTACCCATCCCCCAGAAAGACGTGCTCGCTTGCTGATACCATCATCATACTTGTAACTTGACCGTAAGCTCGAGGCCTGTAAGAGAGCCCTCTCCCCCCACCTCCTCGACGGGCTCCAGGAGACGCTAAGCAAAGCAGTGAGTGCGTGATCGCCTTGGAAGCAAGGTAAACCCCAGGTCCCCAAGGCTCACGAACCCGTAATGCTTACGAGGGCAATAAGCAGGCGGGCAGGCAACCACTAGCTCTCGACCATGCTCACCATCAACCAGAAACTGCATTCTTACGGTGCCAATGGCCCTGACATGTTCGGATATGCACGTCGCCCGTTACGGTCATTCTCTCTCTCTCTCTCTCTCTCTCTCTCTTTCTAGTCTATCTATCCATGGTGCTTACTACCTATTCTCTTCTCGCTTCCTTCTGGATAAGCGATTGCAGTTATGAACAGGCCAACGAGGAGTTGCATCCGTTATTGCTGGCCTGCCTGCAGCTAACCACCCCCTGACAGATTGGGGTAAGAAAAAAAAAAGGAAACAGGGAAACGGCGGATGTGGGTTCGACCTTTTTCGTGCGTGGCTTTGGGGGGGATTTCAATAGTCGACAGGGCAGGGACTTGGATAGTGATGGTGTGGCGTTACGCCCGGAGTGATGCTATTCATGGATTGAGAGGCCTTTGCATTCTTTTCGTCTGATGTATCGCCTTCGTCCGAGTATCAAGAGGGGAAAAAATATGACTCCGGATAGACATGTTCAATTCGTGCAGTCATGCGATGGTGGTGGGAGATGTTCAGTTTGGCGTCTTCTCGCTGTCTAGTTAGATCAAAGCTGGTTTGAGCAGCACCCAAACTTGGGCTATAACAATGATTGAAAGGATCGTCAGTTGCTGTTTCTTTTTGCCAAATTGACATCGAAGCTAGAGACGCAACGGACTACGAGCATACCTATACAAACAAAGGTACTCCGTATACATACTACGTAATATGGATACAGCATAGAGAGGAATCCAAGCCTCAAGGATTCAAGCAAGTGGGCGGGCAAGCTTGGCTTTGTTGGTCGATGCGAGCCATGCGTCGGATGGCTCCACCCGTCATCTCGCCAGGAATGCGGGGAAGGAAATAACGTGACACGGAGATGCTCGTCGTTCAAGTCTCAAATTAAACCCCCCCCGAACGACGATTGCATCACCGCCCACTCAGTATGTCCGGGACTTGGACCACCACACTATCTGCGGAGTGATACCAGTGTGCAGACGTACGAATACAGAAAGATTGGCCAGTCTTCCCAATCCATGCTCATCGGTCAGCGGTCCTCGAGCCTTGAGAATGTGACCATCTCTCTCGTCGTCTTTTGGTTTGTCTCGCCATGCCTCCGCCGTTTCCCACGGACCCGCCCCGTTTGAGATGAAGGAGAGCCCACCAAGAATGCGGAGAAAGGAAAACGACAATTATCGTTTCGACGCAACACTTTACTGAACCGGCCCATTTGACACGAATAGTGGGCCCATCACCAGATCACTTCTCAGACTTGAAGTCCAAACGAGGCTTAGCAACATCACGCTCTTTTGATGAACTAACCCTTTTTCTCCGCGACCTACGCCGCACGAGCACCTTGTAAAAAAAGCAATAATCGAGTGAGACAGGAGCAAAGGCATGGGAGGTACATACATACATGGCCGCATGGGTGGGGTGGTGGTTGGCTTGATGACATCTGGGGTCATTCGGTAAACCCACTTGCGGCTTGAGTGTGCTTCTTGTCCACGATGAATAATGATGGGCCAAGCGTACGGATACCATCTGATTCCACTTGATACAGGGAACCGTCATGAGCCAATCAAGGGGGGTTACTCAAACCCCGAAATGAAGGTGAAGAGGCAGATGAGAGGCGGCTGACGCCGTCGAGCAAACCGACTAACACCAACATCGTTCGTCGCTATGGCGCGAGCATGCCTGGCTGTACATGTTTGCTATTGGCGCAGGAGGTGTTTGCCCGAGCCCATCGTCCACTCGCCTTCGAATCCAATACGGTGGGTTAGGCAACGGGAACAGAGCGGCCCTTCGCTTGAGGGCTCTCCCGCCGCCTGTGTCCCTCGCCATTGGGATTTTCAACATGCGTGGGTCGACACCACTTGCGCCTTGCTGTACCCAGCACAATTCTAGTCATGGCGGCGCGGACGCTCACCTCAGCGCGATACTCGGCGGCTCCTCCATGGGATTTGGGAATCATTGAGACTGGAGCCCTATGGGCGTCCACCGTCATAATATGAGAACCTCCGATGTTGTTGCCCAAATAAGACACGAAGTTGCAACAACGTCAACACCAAATGTCTGAGACTGTTGTGTAGGTATGATTCTCGTGAAGCCTGCGAGAACTTGAGTAGGTAGCGAAAGGGGCTGCAAGACGCCTCGCTCTGAGCCACTTTACGTCTCCTGCCGCCGCTTCTCTTCCAAATGGTTGACACGGCTGTCCGAAGACGGGCTATAGCAAAGGACTTGAATGGACAGGCCTCCCCTGCAGCTCCCGTCGCTCTCGCCAGTCGGCCATTTTCTTCGCACAAACTCCTGATGCTGTATCCGTAGCGTAGTTACACTGCATCTCCAACATATCGATATGACCAGGGCATAGATTGGTCAGTCTTCTCGCCAAGGGTTGGGACAAAAATTCAAAGAAAAATAGAGAGCAAAAGCGTGGGGGACGCTGAGCATGACAGAGGGGTGACTCTAAGACAGCGCCTGTCTGGTTGCTGACATAGGGGAGAGCAGAGGCCGAGAACAACGATCGCGCTTAATACATAGCAGCCAAGATCGAATCAAACCCATAATGGTGTCTGTGTGTAAATAACGTGCTCTGTGCTTCCGGAGGACACACCTGATTTGGCCCAAAGCAGAGGAAGTTGGTAACGTTGGCGACTCGAGTATTGCAGATTTTTTTTCTGCCTGTCCCTCAACGCCTTCAGGGGCGCAATTGACTCACACTTCGACATTGTTAAGCTCTGGAATTCCGCGCCCCGGACCCTGGAATTTTTCACTTCGTTAGCCGGCAACTCTGCTCCTGAGCTCCGGGGGTTCGGGGACTTGAATCTTGCCATGCTCCTTCAGGCCTGGTGAACTCAATCTGTCCGTACACTGTCCAGCGAAGTACGTGCCGCGCTCCACTACTGATATCGGATGAGATGGAACCTTTCTGTATGGTGCAGCGGCGCTCAACTATTTCGAGGAGTGAGCCATTTTGCTGCAAGGTAATTACGGGTTATCTGAACTTGGCCAGATTCGACGCGGCCGCGGTCTTGGTAAGCACGCAAATTCATAGCCAGATCTAGCGATTTGAGGAAAACCACTACGGCTCGACGTCTGGTCGAAAGAGTTGGGGAGTCTCCTGTTGCTTCGTCAATTACGTGCATTGCTGTCACACAACGATCGGCCGACGCCGTGATAGCCTCCAACTCGCCCGCACCTATCGAGCCAGCCCTCGATCATTAGTGGTGCCTTCGTCGTTTTCTGGTTGCGCATCGATAGCATAATTCCTGCTGTACTTGAGGGACTACGTCTTCGTTATACCAAACAAGGCTAGACCTGGCGTTGGTAATGAAGCTGTGGTTTTCGACTCGTCCAATGAGGTGCGGATAGTCACTGAGAAGATCTCAGCTTGGGCAGAAAAGAACGGTGTCACGGGGTGTCTGTGAGACATTGGAGGTGTTCTGGAGAATTCCAGCGGCAAGTACTCGTGATCATGCTGAACGTATCCGTACCGAGGACGACGGGTCAGTCAGGACCGCTTGATGCCATGCTAGCCCCAGTGATAGACAGCTGGGCAGATTTGCTGAGAGCGTGAGACCCTTCAGACTGAATATCATTATCAGGTATCTGCGTCGTCCTCAACGCCTGCAGTCTGCTTGTCGCTCTTGATCCACCTAGCATTGTCGAAGAGTCTAACGGGCCGAGTCTTGGGACCACAGCTAGAAATAAGCGGCGGCTCGGATTCAAGGGCCAGAAACCCAGGTGAAGTCTCTGCGATACTCGACGTCTGAAGACAGACCAAGATGGACATGGTCCGAACACGCCTTCTTTGACCTCCACCTGATCCCCAGTTCTCCTTTGCGGGCGGAGCAGGGCTAGTCCCTGTTTTTGCGCATGGCCCGTGTCAGGAACACGGCAATGCCTTCTCTAGTCTCGATTTTGAAGCTGCGGTGCGGCATCGATATCGAAACTGGTTCTCGGCATGAGGGATGACGATACGTAGATATCCTTCGTACGGATAGATACACAGATACTCCGTATTCTGTGCTCGATGCTGCAGCTTCATTCGGCAGCGGTCGTGAAGGGTTTGTGAGATAAGGGCTAGTACGGGACATTGCGGGATCATCGGCGTGCATTGAAATAAATGAAGACCCCCAGCTGCGCCCCCCCCCCCCCCATTTCGCCGGATCCGACCGAAATAATGCTCGGAGCATGGCTCGATCGAGACTGCCCTCACCTTCAGCTTAGAGCTACAAGCTACGGCATCTGGAAAAGCAAGATATCGGGCGAACGACGCTGCGGCTTCTTCATCGACTGCTTGCCGCAGGCGTGGGGGATGTGGTTGATCTGGGTTTCGCTGTTTCTCGTCTTGAACAATCCTTGGATTGACCTGTCCCACAACCAAGATACAGATAAGCGCAGCAGCTCACCAATACTGCAATGGCCAGGCCCGAGGCTGGCGCGACTGGTTCCTGCTTCAGCGCACCTACACCAACGGCGTTAGACGGGAGCCAGTGCGAATCCTTTGTTCCTAGCCCTCCACCCCGGCCGCAACTCGATCGAACTCTATTGCTTCCCTCATCTCAGCCAAGTCCGAGGCTCCCGCCTTCAAAGATTTAGAGTTGTATGTGGCAGATTTGGCAGAATCTCGTCTTCGTCGTTACGGACGCCGACAAATCCGATGCTATCTCATGTTCGCTCTCCCGAATGAGTTTGACGTATTTGCCGCGTCTCGTTAGGCAATAGAAAGGACTTGCTCGATAGCCGACTTGTAAATCTGGGCGAAGGGGCTATTCCCGTACGAGCGAGAATTCTCGCCTCTCAGGTATCTGTTCGCTCGCTCTGGGTCGAGTTGACTTGGCGCTTGAATGCGTCCCACTTGTGGGCGAAGCAGCACTATCTCGCGCGGGCGCAAAGCCCACGTAGCCCACGCCACACGCGTACTGATAACTTGAGGGCTCGCACTTATCCTCAGAATCCCACGCCAGATCGCTAGGAGCCGTCGGAGCACGCAAGGTTGGTTGCACTCAACCCCACAACCTCCCGGATATGAGTGGGTTGGTGGTTGGAGAGAGACCCAGGAACCTGATGCAGATATCAGCGGGCGGCGGATTAAATGATCATCCTGACGATGTCTCTGAGAAGTGTGCCAGTTCCTGGAAGAAGGGTCTCGGCGAGGTCGAAGCAAGCTGCGTGATTGGCTGTGTGCATAAGGAGATGGCTTATCTGAAGGGTGCCGCTACGTTGAAACCAAGCTAATAGGAGTCATGGGGTTCTTGTCTCTCTGCTATTGCCAGAGACATCAATTTCGTGATCGCAATGGCTGTTGCTATTTGGATCAGCGCTTTAATCAGATAGCCGCGGCAGCCTTGTCGAAAGAGCGGCCGGCACTCGAAGGACGATCACGGCGACAATCGCAAAGATGGCGGGATGGATCGTCTTGTTCGTCGGCCTTGATTGGCTTTCGGCGTTGAAGGTTGTGGTGAACGGCCCAAAGCTTCACCTCTCCCACTGGTTTGTTAGGTAACTGTAGATCCAGTCGCTCCGCAATGGAAGCCTCGTGAGTTTCCCAAGGTGGTTGCTTCGACAGCCGCAGGCGCTCCTACGTTAAGACGTCAGTACCCCCAAAGTGACGAAGGCGACGAACTCTTCTGATCCATAGGGGATCCAGCTCCAGGGTTAGGTCCTGCAACAATCCGTGATGCAGAAGCTGCATGAAGGGCCGCAGAATGCATGTTTGGGCGAAGGCGTCAGTACGGGTGGTCAGGTGGGCAACCTGGACGGCCTACTATGCCATCGGTCGACTCGGGAGGTAGGTATGGTGTTAGTGTGGGGAGGCATGTTGTGACGCTGATTTGTTCAACGTTGTGAGCCTGTTTCTCCTCCCCCGCCTCAAAACGTATGCGGGTGGTGGCCGAACCGGTTTAGCCGCTCTTGGCCCGCAGCAAATTCCAACTGCATGGATGGACGACCACTGAGGGCCTCAACGGAGATATCAACGGCGAATAGCGGCTGCAGACGATAGGAGCTTTTGGAGAGACAGTTGATGTGACGAACTTTCTCCTTATGTCACCGTTCTTGAGTCTCCACGGGTCCGTCGTCACGGATAGTGTCATAGTGCACCCAGCAGAACCGTGACACTGTAGCCTCCAGACGTGTGTCTGCGAGACTACTCCTGCCGTGCCGTTGGCCTAGGGCGGAGACATCGGGTTGTTGAAGCACAAGATCTCCGATACCCTTGACGGACTGGCTCCATAGTTATTGCTTGAGGAAGAGGAGTGCATCATGGGGGCGTACTCGGACTTTTGCGAGAGATTGGAATCGCTCCCAAGCTGCACTAGTTTTAGTTCCTAGGTCCGCATGAGCTAGGAAGACAGCATGTTTCGCAGTGTCTGTAACGTAGACGAATGGGCCAGGAAAACAGACGATGATGACAGTGGGCAGACCAGCCGATCGAGGGTGACATAGCTTCGGGGTGTTGTGATGCCACAGTATCAATTCGTATTTGAAGGGAGTTTGAGCGAGACTCCATGAGCGGACTTGCAGTGGTCCGTCGCGAGTTAACGTTTAGCTGTCATGCCAGGTTGACCTGGGTTTAGGCGGTCATGAGGATTGTATCGAAACTCTCGAAACCAGGACACAGCCTTCTTGACGAAGACAGCCGACGACGGGAATCTCGCAATGCTTCCAGGACACGACGAAATCTCAATTGCGTGCTGGGATGGACGGATAGCGATGGTCAACCCCAGGTTTTTGCTCTGACGCCACCCCACGACAGGATGGTGTTGATATTGGCGTTGGATCTGCACAATTTGGCTGGCAGCCAATGATGAGCCCGACGGCTTTTACCTGGTCTCTGACCCTCCCCTACCCTCGCGGCCTCATCCACCTCCTGCAGCAGGGTCGATCAGTTGCCGTTGTCGTTACGTGGTTGTGGTGGGCTAGAAGAGGGGAGTCGTCTTGAGACAGAAGCGGCGACACGAAAAGAGGCCGCTGCAGAAGCAGAGACACACGAAAACGTCAAGGTGCTTGGTTGGTTGGTTGCACCAGCATCCATCAGTTGTCTGAATTGTGAAGGGACCAGTCGTGTGTTGAGTTTGCCTTCTCCACTGGCTACCGCCATCGTAGTATTCAATGGCAGTCTGTCTTGGCCCGGCGTGTGTGGTGTTGCCGTCGCCGTTGGCCTCTCTTCACTGCCGCTCTGCCGCTCAAGGAAAATTCTCCAGTCTTTACAGAGTCACAGAGTAAAGTGGGCCATGGAGAAGGGGACGGCCGCTGTCGCTATTTTTGCGGATACCAACCCCCCACGCGGCTCCATGCCTCATATCATTCGACAAAGGACTGATTTGATTTCTCATGATCTTGGGCTGACACCCGTTGTGTCCATGTGTTTTTGGAGAACACCATAATACCAGCGACAACGAGAATTGCGAGGAAGCTGATGGTGACGGACACGGGGGATGTAGGGATTCGAAGAATGTTGGGAACCAATGGGGAGATTGAGGTTGAAGATTTTTTCCTTTCTTTCTTCGTTCATCTCCTTGCTTCGAGTCCGGGCTCACCCAGGCGAGGAGGGAACATGCGCGATCTAGACTGGTCCAGCCAGCCCCCGAGGCGTACTGCTTGTGTACAGTGGCGTTGAACGGGATCGAGCTCTGGGGTGCTCAGCTTTCAGGCCGGGTTTGAAAGTAGTGGTTCAGTCGCAAACGCACTTCTGATTAATCACTCAATTCAACATATCCTTCTCTTGGGTCGTCCGAGGGTGGCCAGAATCCCATGCAGGGCACAGAGTACGAATACTAGCGATGCTGGTGCTCGTGGTGGTGTGCTGTTTTGCTGCTGCTGCTGCTGTCTCTGGTGGCAGCAAGCAACACAGGAGGAAGAGAGACGACAGTGCAGCTTTGGATCTGACCAAACACCTGACTGCTCCTTGAGAGAGGCCGGGGTCGAGCTATGCTAGCATCAATTGGGAGGGCGTGGGTGTCGATCATGGGTTTGAATTCGGGCAAGGAAAAGACGGAGAAAGTGGACCAGTTTCCTTGGGAGTTGGGAGTCGCGACAGCACCAGGGGCGTGAGGGAATGACCGGAGACGAGAGCTTGGGCCAATGGCACCCGCATCCACTAGACCGAAACAATGCTAGCGCAGACAGGACTCTTGGTATCCACCCAGCTCGTTCTCACTGGCTCAGAACGAGCAGCTTCGGTTCAGCGTCTGCAGCAGCCATCTGTACTCATGCCTGAGGTAGTCGTCGATTGCACAATCCGCTGCATCACTGTCATAAGCGGGCAGACCCGTGCCTGGCGATGCCGCAATACAAGCGGAAGAGGTACAGATATTGGCTGCCTTCCTCCTGCTGCCCACGCCATTTGCATCCACTCTGAGCTGATGCCCACTCAGCTGGAGAACGCAGTATCCGTAGGCACCTTGGACTGCGTTGGGTGCTGCCTTATGCAGCTCTCGGATGTCCACACGCCCCCTGGCGTCATCGTCGACAGTTGGCTCTCTCTGGCTGGCCTGCCTTGGGACCGTCGCATCCTCAGGAAGTTAGCAGATAACGCAAGAGCAGCAGCAGAGCGGACAAGACCAAGTATCTTTGCAGCCCAGTTTCACCTAGCAAGTACGAAGTGGTACTCCGTCCCACTGCTGCCCCCGCTTTATCTGCACTTTCCATTTCTTCACAACTCTTTGCTGATGAATTATGTTTCTGCACCCCCTCTCTCTATCCAGCCACCCACACACCTCGCTCATGCCCTCAAACTCTGAGCAGTGAGCACAATTGTCGCCTTTGACGCAGAAAATTTTCAGAGGAAATCATCACACGCCCAAGTCTGCTGGATGGTCCCCTGCTCCTTCTTCCCCTGCCCTCCCGAAGATGGGTACGTACACTTTTTCCTTCCCTCGTCCCCTTCCCTAACAAATCTCTCTCTCTATGACTCTGTAACTCTGTGACTCTCTCGCTCCCTTCCCCCCCAATTTGCCAATCTCGTCCATCTCGCTCTCCCCTCCTCTTTCTCTACCACCCACCACCCCCTCTTTCCCTCACTCCTCACTCCCGCTTGACCTTGCTCTCCCACCCTCCCCTCCCACACCCCTCTCTCTCTCCCAGACACCCCCTTCTCTCCTTCAGTGGGCGCTATCTGCTGCAGGGCATGAGAACTGGAAGTGGGGTCCTGGCTCAGCCCATCAGATTGCCAATGCCATCCTTGCTGTCTCTCTGCCCTCCATCTCCATCTTGCCATCTCCACCCCGGACCTGCACACTAGCGGCCACTTCCTGCCCTTGTGCTTGTGTGTGCATGTTTGTGTGGTGGGTAGGCGTCTTGTCGCTCTCTTCATCCACTTCCAAGTATCTTTGCACCCATCCACCACAGCATAGGTACTTGCTATGCACCATAGGCCTTGCCTTGGGCGTGCTCCTCTACTGGTGGGCAGGCTGTGCTTCGAGGATAGATACATATGAGCCGACCTCTTTCCACACCTCGATCCACCTCTCGTTCTCTCATCATTCGACTTCACTCATCTTCTCCTCCGGCATTTGTTCGTGGCTCACTCTCTTGCTTGTGGCTTCCAGTTCTGTTCATATATCGACTGCAATCCCGTCCAACTCTTTAAACACCTGCCACCACCCACTCATCATCACAACTTGCCTACGCACAAACACCAACTACCACCTTCAGTCCACCACTTGAACACTAGTCGACTCGACTCGGTTCTGCTCAACACACAACGCCAAACTCAAACAACTACACACCACAAATCCAGACGCAATGGCCGCCTTCGACCTCTGGACTCACGAGTTCTGCCTCGGCTGCGACAAGCAGACCGATGGTACTGCCTACTGCTCCGAATCCTGCCGTCTCGCCGACTTCGAGAAGACATCTACACCCAGCTCAGTTGCCAGCTCGCCCGGCTTGAACACCCCTTCCTACCATTGGACTTCTTCAAGGCAACAGTCCAACAACTTCTACCTCTCGCCCGCCTACGACTTCACCAACGCTCAACCCTACGGCAGCACCCCCTCCAGACAATCTTACCTCTCGTCTTCGAGGGCACCCATCACCACTCGCCGCATCCTGACCACTTCGAGCTCCAACTCCAGCCTGTGCTCGATGCAGAGCACAACATCATCCAACACCGATGGCAGCCAGCTTTCAGAGAAGGCCAAGAGGGAGCTCCAAGCCTACGCCGTGTCTTTTGATCAAGCGAGACTCCAGCGTCGACGATCCGCCTAAATCGAACACGACCTCTTCATCTACACACTGTTCAATATACCCTTAGCCACAGCACAAGTGGCATCGTTTCCTTTTTCCAGCACAGCACGCAACTCAGTTTACTCGATACACCATCGGCACACCGACTCTTTTCTCTTTTCTTTGGGTTCGACTTTGTTGTAACAAAACGGGCATTACATCGGAGTACTGCATTATAAAAAAAAGTTTGGGTCAACTACGGGGAGTACTTGGCTTGGCAGGACATCTGCATCAATCACATCAGGGCGCAACAATGGGGAACACTGGGATTGTACCACGACATTGGGGGCTTGTAACCAAGGGTTGTTTACAAGTATGGCACTGAGAGATTGAGTATCTCGCCTTTGGCTTCATTACACCTCGCCACGGAATGGACGAGAGGTAGCCTGTCACGAGAGCGGAAGGGCTCATATCACGACAAAGATTGGGTAAAGACCCTGGCATTGGACGAAGCCTCGAGGCAAAATGACCTCTGATGGCAGCTTGGACTGGTATAAACATAAGGCATTATCACAGTGACGGATCAACTGGGTAGCGGAGATTCCAGAGGAATGGACTAGCACCGCCAGATTGAGATGGACCAAAAATTATAAGACCAGTTCAAAGCTTGACAAGAATTTTTCCACTTGCTACTACCTACATGTGTGACTCTGATGACTGCAATCAACGATGACTCTAACTCTGTCCATGCCAGCACAATCCGCATCCACTTCTGGAGCCTTCGCGACGGAGCTGTGGGTCTGCGGGAAAAGTCGTCATAGTGCCGGAAAGTTCAGAATTCCCCCATTACGCTTTGAGAGCCTGGCCCAGGTGCAATGGAGTTTGGTCCGAAGGGAGCAAAAGTTGGTGAAATTTTTGGCCAGGATCCCACGCCAAGATTATTTTTGTTCGCTCGGAAGTTGCCAAACATACCACAGACTGGGAAGGGACGGTAAACGGGGGTCGGACACGGCGCACAATTCGGGAACACAACTAAGGTAACAATTAATGGAGAACATTGGCACGTTGGGTAGGGGAGTTGGTTAGTTGGTTGGTGGGCGTCTGATTGACGAATGCATTTTCTTTTTTTCTTCCCTTTGTTTTTTTTTTCTGTCATGTCATTGCAGACTTTTGACAACGGCTCGATTGCCCACGTTGACAACGTGCAGCTCAGGGCCCTCCAAAAGGCCCAAGGACAGGCAAGCCGCAAAAAGGACGGAAATTGGAGAAGCAGGATACGGATTGCCGTACACGTGTTTCCCATGGCTAATCATTTTCTTGAGTCTTGACAGTGGAAGAGGCGAATGGCGAATCAGCGAGAAAGTGAGAGATGATGGAACTGGCAAATGCATGGTACGATTGGAAAAGGCAGTGCGTGCCATCAAAGTCGGGCACAACGCATTGCACTTTCCCATGCCGCCTGTTTTAATGGGGATTTCCAAAGTCTTACGGGATACCTTGCTTTCCCGTCTACACAGTAACTACACAAGGTAGGGTAAGGTACCTTGTATTTCTTTTCTTGTCCATCCATCGCCTTGTTCTTTTCTTCCTCCCCCGTGCCTCCTTCCTGCCTCATGGAGTAAGTATGTAAGTACCTTTGTACAGCTGCATTGAGGCAAGGGAGGGAAGGTATCTTCCAGGTTGAGGTCAAACAGGCACTAAACATCAAGCCAGCGTAGCCATCTTAGTCATCGAGCCACTGTGTACGACGGGAGAGGATGAAACCTGGCTATCTAGGTACCTACCCTATGTGTCTATGTACCTATGTATCCGTATGTGCCTAAGGTACCTTACCTTATGCCCATGGACGGCTTCAACGACACACATCCAAAATATTGCTCGCACCTGCGCAAGCACGCAAAACATAATAATGCATGGCTGCTGTCCCACGGTGGAGGTCATCTCGATGGCGCACAGTTCGCAATCTCGCACCAAGATTGAGCAAGCGAGAAAGATGAGATGCTTTCAGCAAGTCACAGTCGCCACGACGTCTTTCTCGTCTCTCGTCTCTCGCTCTCCGACCGGAGTGGCCCATGTCTCCGAGCACCGCAGTCGCAAACCCGCAGCCCAGGGCACCTCTCACCAGCAGCTATGCCCGATGTCAAATTCCAAAAAGGGCGAATACGCACCTGCCCCCCCCCCCTGACAGGACGATTCCCCGCCAAACACACGCACACGCCTGCTCATCCATACACCACGGCGGCATCCATCGTCAATTCAGAAAATTTTGTCCATTGCGGACAACAGGGGACCCGTAAATAACGACAATGCCGCCCACATGACCGCCATGACGTGAGCCGCGCGAGAAAACATGCCATCCATCTGCCCCGTCGTCCTCTGACGCAGCTCGAACCGAAATGGATTATGGAGGCGGCTTTCGAAGCCGAACCCTCTTTTCTCACTCAGATCCTCGATCCACAAGGAAAGGGAGGGGACTCAGGAGGAGACGTATCTGACAGGAAGACCCCCGCCAAGTTGCGAGAGCCTCTTTTTCATGTGCGATGGAATCTCGGTTGTAGCCGCAACCTGACCACGTCCAATAGGCGACTACCACCCACCCCTCCGCGCGTGTTACGGTACAGGGCGCTTCGGATACGGACAGGAGAGTGAGAACAGCTACGAAGCTATCTTTTAGCCCAGGGGGCGGCGAGCAAGAAGTGAAAGAAATGGCATTGTGGCACTGGGCAGCCTTTCAAATTGGCTGTTTGCTACCGCCGCTCAGACCAACGATGTGCACTTCATCAACAACTGCTCCTCATCTCGGAGCTGGCTTGCTTATTGCCATGGCCCTCTCGGTCTCCATCAATGCCGCCCCCGATATTCGGAGCCCTCAAGGAAATCTTTTTTTCCAGAACCGAGGGGCCTGTCTGGCTTGAGGACTGGACTCAGTGGGCTGGACTGGACTGCATCTGGGCCCTGAACCTGGGCCGAATCCGTGGGGTGTCGAGGGCGGCCCGAACGCTAACCACGACACTCACTCCGTGACTCCTCAATCCGTTCAGTCGTGCATTTCCAGTCTTTCACCCAACAGTCGACACCCACCAGCAGCAGTTGAGGCAGCCGCTATTGGCAAGCGCCGATGGGAGAGAAAGGGCAAGGATGGGGATGGGACGTGAGAGTGCGGCCCAGCCCAATCCAAATTGCGACCAGCTCTAACATCCTCGAGCAAGGGTGTGGCGGCCCAGTGGAAGCGATAGTGCTATTATGGAACCCTCCAGCACCAGAGGCGCTCTGCTGAGGACAGCCTACAGGTGGGAGAGTCTGGAGACAGGGCGGCTTGCTCAGGCGTCTCGCCAGCTGTAAGTGGCCAGGACAGGGCTTCAATTCGACATGGGAATTTCCAACAGACGAGGCGTCCGCCTCTCAGTGCTCGCCTGCAGGTGTGCTTCATCACTCAGAAAGGCCTGCGTCCTGCTTGCTGTAGAGTGCAGAGCAAGGAGCACCTTTGTTCAAGTCGATTCTGCACCACGCCTCAGCTTCAGCCTCCGGACATTATCCAGGCAATCCGACCTGTCACTGCCTTAACCGATGCCTGCCAGCCGTTTCTGTCTCTTTGCAGACTGTGTGTATGTGTGTGTGTGTGTGTGTGTGTGACAGACAAGCTCCGTCAGCGCCGAGCCACTTACAGTAGCCTCAGTTCGCCTTCAGTTCGCCTCTGCCTACTCACATTAGGTGGCCTTGACGAATTGGAATAGCCAAATAACCCGATAGGAAGATAATGCCTCACGAACATGATCCCCAAGAAGCAGGCTTGAGGGCCGCAAGTGTGCCTTTGCCTTTCATCTGCAGCTTACGCCTTTCCTTGCGTCTCTGAAGCAGCAGCAATAATTTGCACCACAGCCAACTGGACGACGACTTCCACTTTAGACATGGTGCATTGTGACGGTGTTGGCAGCATTTGATACGACCAGTCTGTTATGCCTCCATCTCCCCCTCTCCGGGTTTGTTGGGGGAGTGGCTACAGAGACTCATTCCTTCAACGATCTTACAACTCGTCAAACCAGCCGTTCTGCGTTTTGACGCCCCCTTTCCCTGGCGGCCTGGCCCTCGCTTTACGGTCCTTTAGGCTTGGGACAGAGATGAAAATTTTCACAGCATGGATCAGCCTCTGAATCTTCTTTTCTCTCCGTCTCCCTTCGGAATGGGCAACGCAACGGATCGATCGATCCATGGTGTCTGGTCTCTGTGCGCCTGGCCATGGCCTAGGTACTCCGTGCCCAGGTTCTTGCTCGTTATGCCCGCTCTGCGCCCTAGTTGCCTTTACTACCCGTTCTGTTTTACATTGAACGGTGAGTCGTTCCGGAGACATGTATCAAGAGACAATAACAACAAACAGAACAAAACAAAGTTTGACTTCGTTGTACGCTGAGCGGTCTTCGTCTATACTCCCCGTGATAACTGGGTGTCCATATCCGAGGCGGGTTTCGTCGGCTCGCTTCAGTTGTGCTGCAATGCTTTAGTACCTCTGAGCGCCAACGGTATTCAAGAGCAGCCCGGGAGTCTCCAGTCGAACCACCATGGCACCTCAAAGCGGGTGTTGTGCCGTTGCACCGCCTGCATTTCAAGCCACCGCATCGCTTTCTGTTTTACACCTCAGACACATCCTCTTCTGCACAGCGAGTACACGCACTCGAACAAGTATCACGGTGATCGACCTTCGCCAGTCGGGCGGTCTCTATTGAACAAACCCGTTTTACCCGCTGTAGTATGAGCACTAGACATATTCTGCCGTCCAACCACTCAACCAGGTGCTGCGGTAACAGTACTCTCTTGCAACGAGGCAGGGGCCGTCTCACCCGCATATCTCACAAGTGGTCGGTCATGTTATGTAATTTCTGATTGAATGAGAGCATGGAGGCTATTGTCTCGCACCAGACGAAAGACTCCAGTCTTTCTCATCGGTGCCTGTGCCTGTGCCTTTCGAATTCGGATAGATGCAGGCCCGAAAGCTGAACTGTCTCTTGTCTGCTCGGCGGTCACGCCCCATCGTCAAGAGCCTTGAGCCGGCTCACGTAATACGACTTTCCCCCTTGAACCACGACAAGCCGACAATGACGTCAAGCTTTTTCTCTCCTCTCACCTTGCGGACACCGGTTTCATCCTTCAGTCTGGACTGATCCGAAGGAGCACGGCATCCCAGGTCCCTGGGAACAATACTTCGCAGGCCCGTGACACACGGCACGGTCAGACGCTTCATGGCCAAGCATCATCAGCGGAAACGCTGACAGGAAGAGCAGCGAACCGATCCGTTGTACAGAGTGTCATTGTTCTTGCTGTCTGGGCCACGGCTGCTGGGTTGAGGAGCCTGAGACAAACTTGTGCCGTGCCTCGTCCCGTGTCCGGCATCGTTGCAAGGAACATCTCTGAAGGATACCCGCACCTTTCCCGCACCTTACGTGAACGCAGGGCACATTTGGCGAGAACCCGTCCAAAGGCAATTGAGTCGAAAGTTTCCGGGACGGGAGGGACAAGGGGTTGAGGCGAACCAGAGCTTTCCTGGGCAGCCACGGCAAACGAGGTTCAAACAACGGGACCGTCCCTCCCTTCTCTACGGAGTATTCCTGTCCAAGCAGCGTGGCAGCTTTCGACGAAGCTTCAATGCCGTGCCGCGTCAAGGTACCTGGTAGACATGGAAAGAAGAGCCAACTGCCGGGAGATGCGTCAGCATCCTCTTTGCCAGTCACAGATTGACACGACCACAAGTCATCGAATCTTGGGGCGGGCTCCCGTTTCATCCTCCTCGGTTGACTTTTAACCAACATCAGGCCGAATCACAAAGCTTGCAAGACCGGTCCAGACTTTTTGCAATTATCCGGGGTGAGTTGCAGCCAAAAAACCTTGTTTAACTGCTGAGCGATCTAGGCCACGGCACTAATTTATTGCACTTTGCTGGTCTCATTACCAATCGGGGAGATGCCCTCGCCGCATTGCAATTGCCTCATGTTGTTGCCGTTCATGTCAGCAATTGCAAATGGGCAGCCAGATTTGCCAAATCGACACGGGCCGCCTCAAAGCTTTTTGTTGGGCATTCGTAAGGAGAGGCATTTTTTTCTTTCCTCATTTTTCAACATTGACCTCCTCACGTCGCCTAGGCTGGCCCCGTTTCATCCGCAATCGGCTGCCTCTTGTCCCTCATTTACCGTCGTTGTCATCGGAGGGGGGAGTGTCGTCCTGACCTGATCAGACAATGGTTCGATCTTGGAGCGACGAAATGCTGGGCTTTCCCGTTTCCGATGGAACGTTCACAGTGTTCCCTTTCCCCCGGCTGGGCTTGTTCAAACACACAAATCTCACTTTGTGAAAGAGAGACAGATCGTATCCGCCCGCCACCGTTCCGCGGCCCGCTTACTGGGAAGCAAGTAGCGGGGGAAATTTCCCGCCTCTGGCCCTCAGATCATCGATTCGGCTTGTCATTGCCCCTTGTACGAACGGATACTCCATATGATCTGATGATTTTTTCCTCGTCTATGGACGTTCTTGGAAGCTGGAGTCGGAGCCAGCCTACGTTCAGTGAGTGGGCTGCCTGTGTGGGAACCGGGCGCAATCGAAGGGATGAGGAAGTTTTTCTCTCCTTTCACCAATCTTTTGCCCCCTTTCTTTTTCCGTTTTTCTGATGCCCGTCATTCATGCTGGCGACGTGTCATAGTGGCATGTGCATATTTTCCGTCCCTTTCCCCACGTCGTTGAAGCCTCTTGGATCAGAAACTTAGCCCCTCTCGGCCTGACCTGACGGGACCGTGGGAGCTTGTGCTTCACCGGTGAGGATGTGGATCACGTCCCTTCTTTTTTTTTTTTGTGAAAATTTCTGAAAGCGATTTGAAGGGCTCATCAGGCAGATTGCAGCTGGAGCGAGACAATTCCTCCAGTAGGCTTGCGCATCAATTATCCCCATTGCGGGCTTTCGCTGGGCTCACGGGCCGCGCTCAACCAAAGGGGCGTCTGTCTATGCAAAAGCCTCTGCCGTTCCCCCCGAGAAAGAGGAGTGGGATGAGAGCGAGAGTGAGAGTGAGACTTTACTGGAGAGAGAGGCTTTCGTGGATGGCCTGATGCCGTTGTTGCGGGCCGGTTCATGTGCGGTCAACCAGGAAGCACCACACCGGGACAAGAATCTACAGCTAGACCACCTGGCGAGTCTCCAAGGCGTGCCGACGATTGGTGAGCCTTACGAGACGGGGCATTCCAGAGGGGGGTGTAACCTCGAGCTAGGGCACAGGGCTCGCCGTTGTTGTGCCTGTAAGTCGTAGCTCAGCTCAGCTTTGGTTGAAGAGATTTTTCTCGCGTGTTAGGTTTTGGAAGTGCGAGACAAGACACGAACCCGGCCGATGAGAACTCGTAGGCTGAAACATGCTCTTTTTCTTTGGTCTATTGGTGAGCGATCAGGCCAGAGAGTGTAAGTGTATCGGCGACGGAGGTGCAAGTTCCCTCCCGTTGTGAAGTCTCTTCTGTGAGAACCTGATTTCATAATCCCAATTCTCCCTTCTGTTACGGACTACGGATACAAGTCTGCATCTTTGCAAGTGAGAGAGATGTATGGGCGTGTGTTTTGTCTATCCTAGGTTTGTGCGTTGTCGCACACGCCCAGAGCTCTGCGAATTGGATAGCGTTGGCCAGCACCGGGGCGCGGGATGTGCCGGTGGGGGTGGCAGCACAAGGCAGGGCATGGCAGAGCAGAGGTATCTTTTGTATCCTTGCGTGCACTACTTGCCTACAAAGTACTTTTGCTTTCTCACCAGGCCTCTCAGCCTGAGAGAGGCTGTGGAGCCCACGGGGAAGATCTCCCGGACATGGGTCGTTTTTATTATTGGAAGTTTTGGGCGGGGTGCCCCTTGCTGGGTTTGCTGGCGCCCTACCTTACGCAGTTACCTAAAGTTGAGCCTCAGGGCAGGGCAGGGCAACCTGACTACCTACGGACAGGTACACCATACCGGACAGTATGCGTGCCTGGGAACATGCTGCGTAAGGTATGGTTAGAAGTCTCTTGCCTGCGAGGTGAATGTTGAGAGAGAGAGAGAGAGAGAGAGAGAGAGAGAGAGAGAGAGAGAGAGAGAGAGAGAGAGAGAGAGAGAGAGAGAGAGAGATAGAGAGACTCGTGCTAGCTTCGGTTTTGGATGATTGAAAAATTTTCCCCAAGGGTTCGGCTACCACGATGGAAAATGTTACCTGTGCCTTGCTCTGGATCAAAGCGAAAACTCTGTCCTGGTTCTTTTTGTGCGACGCCCGGTGCTGAGAACGGGGTGTCGGTGCAACGGTGAAAAATATCTGGATTGTGGGAAATGGGTGAACCAAGGGGTGGGCAACATGCCATCTTACGCCAGGCGAAGTTACGAGATACCCATGGGTACCGCTGAGTGAGACGTTTTCCTCATGGTTCTCATCTTCTGTACACAGGGCGCGCAAGTTACAAAAAAAAAAAAAGGGGGGGGGGGGAGAAAACTTTTCTCGTCAATTGTGTGCAAGGTACAAAATATGGTATTCGTAAGACGTTCCAATTCATGTTCACAGCAAAATGTACGGAAAGGAATAAAAGTCTTAGACGCCGGTTTGTGTTACTTGGGGACGTACGACTACACGCCGGCCGCTCTTGTTTCCCAGTTCGTCGGTAACCCGTACAAGGCTGACTTGACTCTGACGGAGAGACATACGTTCACGAACCTGCGGCAACAGGGCGCTCCGGCAGGGCGGGACGTTTGCTGGGTAATGATCATGATGATGGCATGACTTGACTTGACTTGGAAAACTCTGTGAAACTGTCGGACTAGGCGGTGGCTTGCTCGAGCTTTACGAGTGCCATAAGCAGCTGGCAGCCTCATTGGAATGCAGACTCATACGGGCGGGCACAGGAAGTGGGTGTATGGACCGTCTAGCTGGATCAAGACATAAGAAACCAAGAGCCTTTTTGCGTGGCGTGCGTGGGGGGGGGGGGGGGGGCAGGCAAAAACCGCGGGGGGGGGGGAAAAAAAAAGGGGAAAAAAAACAAAACCCCCCCAAACCCCGTCAACACTTCAAGGGGGGGGGTGGGGGGGGGGGGGGGGGGGGGGGGGGGGGGGGGGACAGCTACGAATACCTCGTAGTGGGAAGAGAAAAGAAATGGAAAGACAACCAACACCCCCCAAACCCTGGCTTAGAGACATTCTTCGATCAGGGGGTGTTGATGACAGAGTGGGAGAAAGATGGAGGATGGCATTTTGCAACTAGGAAGCGAAAAAAGCAAGCAAGATGTGCGCGAAATGCCATGCACGCACCCAGGGCTTGCAAGGCTAAGAATATGCAAAAGCCAGACGACGCCATACCACGTTAGGAAGGAGTCCATCTGTGATCCAGATTCTTGTGACCGTGAACAGCACAGCTCAGCTCTTTTGCAATTCACAATGCGAGACTGCAAATACAGGGTCAAGTAAATTAAATGTCCGAACATTGCTCGCTACCATTCCCGGATGGCCTTCGTACCCTTGACCATTGATACCTGATTCGAGGCATGGAAAAGCGGTGGTGGGAAATACGTATTTCGTAGGCAGGCACTCCATAGAAAGAATTGGAAACCCAAGAAAGGAAAAAAAATGGAAAGCTAAGGGAGGGGCGGATAGGCGGGATTAGAGACAGGGTTCTCGGAGCTGTCAACGCGGGATGCCGCGGCGCTGGGCCCAATTGGATGGGGTCATGGAGCTCGGAGACAACCTACCTTACGGATACCTTACTGCGGAGTTTTTTTGGTGCTTGCAAATTTTCTTGCCATGTGAAGCTGTGACTGTTTTCTTTCCAATTTTTGGCGGGTTTCATCCACTTTTTTCCCTTTCCATCGTCTCGGCTTCTCATCCGTATGACTATGACTCTTCAATATTGGGGAGATGCTCGTGATCCTCAAGATTTCTCTCACTATTAACTTTTCCTCGCTTAGCTTCATGAAGGAGGTTACGAAAAGGCAAGGAGGTACGGAGATACCTCACCGGACTTTGGGACCCGGTTCCAACTTTGTTCAAAGTTTCCATGTCTTGTTTTCGGGGACTATTTTCGGTTTCCGGCTAGCATTCCCCGTTGATATTTCAGGTACCACCGAGCTTGGAGGTAAGCTGGCAAGAACCAAGGTACTTTGTATCATTTGGTGAATTCCATTCTTCTCCTGCCTTGGCAGCTCGGTGACGTCCTGGTTTGAAGTTGACTCATCGTCGCCTTTGTCTCAAGGGCCTATGGGTCGCCGATTACCTAACCACTCACCTGCCTACTACGTATGCTTGCTATTGCTATGCAACTCTGTTTTTGCTCGTCATTCTCCCGTCAAAGTCAAGGATAGGCCGTCCATCTTTCGACTGAGGCTGTGTAACCTTCTTGCTTTTTTTCTTTTTGTGTAGTGGATTTACGGATACAAGGCAAGGGGGGAAAAGATACCAGGTCTTACTTAGCTTTGCCGGTCTCGCCTAAAAAACCGCCCGCAGAAGTCGTTTATGCTCTAAAGCAACACACAAAAACAACAGCAATAAGCAATCTACAGCGTTATGCAAAGAGGAGTTTGTTTAACTCGATCAAAGCGAAACATGGCGCAACATGAACCCCCCACTGTATTCCAACATTCCCAGTAGAGACAAAAAGGAATAAAACAAAGTTTCGCAATGGAAAAGCAGAAACCTACCAAAACCCCCCACACATGCAACTAGTGGGGATTCTTTCTTGTGTGAGTAACTGTGTGTAACTGTGAGAGTGCGTGCATGTTGTATCACTGTCAAGTCACCAAAGTTTTGTTTTTGTTTTTTCTTGTCTAAACCGACAGTCAGGCAGATCGTATTGACGCAGCGCATGTCGTTGTAGAGTCTCCATCGCCGAGACCCAGATGTTTCACCGACCCGGCCCTCACCGTTGATACTATCGAGTCGGCTCTCAGCGGGCACGCCAGCAAAGTTCCTGCATTGCGTGCGACGATGGGTCAATGTTGCGATACCACGCACCATGGTGGGGACTTTGTTTGCAATATCTTTCACACGCTTGCGGTGACAAGTTGTGCCCTATGTTCCGGTCTGGACCTTAAGTGCCAAAGCGCATCGAAACAATACTGGGTACGGAAGAGGTAGCGTATTGCGGAGTACATGTTTCTCTTGTCATCGTTTCCACCAAAAGACTGGTCCCCTTGGATGCACTAAATGGCGTTTACCTATTCACTATTCCTCCGTAGTGCGCATCCTCAGACCCTGTGATGCGTACCTGGATAGGGGTGGGAGCAGAGGTGGTTCCCTTCATTCAGGTATGACGGTGGGAACGTAGTGCAACTGTTAGGTACACTTAAGTACGAAAGGACCCTCTTGTTCCAGTCATGCCGTGATCATCCACAGCATCTTGTCGCTTCTCAGGAGTCACTGGCCGGGCTCCATACCTGAAGCTTACGAACCAGACGGAGCTGAGGTGGGTGCCGAGTTCCAGTTGTTCCCGTATGTATGTACAGTCACGATGCTGTGCGACGCTCTCTATACGCATCTCGTGCTGCGTCACCGGTTCCTGGATTCGCTCTGCGGATCCCCCGTCACAGGATCTGAGGAGAATACCTTCTTCTGTGGAAACTCGAGAGTCCAGACCTTTCCCGTGAAAAAAAGGACGCACTATCGCAGCGACGAGGACAACCAACGCGTGCCACGGTAGCATCGAACATCCCCACCGGGACGCCTTGAAACGACGGAGGCAGACTTACCTAAGCCAGACCCGGCGGTCGATGAAGAGTCTGGATGCTTCAGCCTTCACTGAGCTGGAGCACAAACTGGGGAGAGGTAGTGGCCTCAGGTTTCCAAGGCCATTGGCAAGCATACGCAGTGAGTACATACGCCAGAAACAAGCTTGGCATTGCGGATATGCTCATGCTTGTGGAGTTGTTTGCTCTGTGAGTCGTGACGCCCAGCGGACGGCCCTTTCTCCCCAAACAATCTCCCTCAGGAACTTTAGGAAACCCGTGAATCTTCCGGGTTCTCCATAATTCCACTCTTCTTGCCTGACTGGACGGGGACCTGAACCGGACCAGACGGACCTCACGGCCTCGCTGCCGAGCGAGAGAGCTGCGAGAAGCCAAAGCCTATCCACAAGGTAACTCCGCACCTCGAGTGGAGACCTGGACGATGCGTTGTCTTGAGGTTCTGCTTGGATCGCCGTCACAGGCCGGGGAGAGCCGGCCAGCACCGGGCTCCACAATGCCAGAGGAAGCCCCCAACCTCTCTCTCTCTTTTCCTTCCCGGACGCCGCCAGCCCGCTCCGGACTCCGTGGAGTGAACGTAGGGCATGGGGTGTGAGGCCACAGCCCCAAGGCGTCAAGGCCCCATCTTCTTGCACAAAATTGAGCAAGGACAACCCCAGCTCACGTGGCTTTGATATAAAGACGCCCTTTTGTGCAAGTTGTGCACGAATCCACATACGTACCTTATGGGTCAGAGATTCACAGCTTCTTTAGTGCTCCCGTCATGGAGGATTCATCCTGGGGCCATCCACTAAACAAGAAACTTGTTCGTCAATGGCCTTTCTTGCACTTGCTCTCTGGCAAGTCCACATGGATTGCACACTCACCATCTTTTTACGTACGCATACTGAAGCCATCACTACCAAACGCAGTAGCTCAAGCTTAGCCGAGTCTAGCTCTCCCCAGGATTTTCGGGGGGAGGGGGTCCCTCTCAGCTCAGCCAGGCCTCAAAAAGAAACCCGGTTTTAACACACGATGGAGTCTTCTAGTGTTGAAGGAAAACAAGGCCATGCTGCCCGAATGACCGGTGCAGATTTTCACCTTAGCACGGCACCACGGGAAGCCGGCGCCGACGGTTGGACGACGGGTTCTGTTTCTTCAGAGGGATGGATGGAGACCATGGGCAAGCTATGACTGATGGCTGAGAAGTTAGATCGGGCGTCGTCCATTTGCTTGTCCCGCATCCCTGGACTCGAAAACCCGGTCTTGTGGTTTTTTCAGACACGTCAAAGAATGAAGATACCTTAGCTCCCCGTCAGCGGCGGCGCTGCTGCCCAAGCCTTTGGTAGCGTTGGTTGGAAAACTTGATGGGATCGTCACGCCAGGCGTGCCAGGCCACATGCAAAGGCAGGAAAAAACCTGAGACCCTTGACAGCCAGCCAGCCCTGGATTTTTTTTCGTGTTTTTTTTTTCTTCGAGATTTTCTTTTCGACATCGTCGATTCTTTCGATTCCGCGATCCGAGGGGGTCCATCCCTTTCGATCTAGCAAGGCGCAGTCCGACGATCTACAACTACACTATCAAGGGGTTGGCAGGGCCTTATTCGGGCCTCGTTCAGCAACCCACCCCTCCTCGTTGTCGTCAAAATGACTCGAGGGCCGCAATTAAGCAATATGGAAAGGTCGGCCTCGATCGATGGGGATGGATCATGGGGGGGCACCCAGCACGCAAGCGCGCGCAAGACAGGCGCCGCATTGCGAAATGTCCAGGCCCGTCTGTATATTGCCTCCACAGAATGTCTCTCTATCATACCCTTTGCTTGAAAGGCTGAAGAAAGGATTTCTGGACCGTCTGATCCGAATTCAATTAGTGTAGGACGGGCCCAAGACTATTACGGGATGGTAGATGGCGAATTCAGCTACTCTATCAACCTTATCTCGAAAAAGGAGAGCTAGCATCTATGCGGTCCTTTCAAATACCCCAAGAAATCCTTCAGCGGCCGTTGACTTCTTTGTCTCTGTTGTGTTAGGGAGCTTGGGAGACGATCCGGCGCACCCCGCGGCATTGGCTTGGAGATTGAAGAATCGCCCGCGCATCGTTTCCGTCCTCGGCGAACGGCGCCGGGCCAGCGCAGAGCGCCAGCGGGACAAGCTGGAAGTCTGTTTTGCGGAGCTCCCGGGGGTGTGCAAATTTTCTTGGGCTTTACGGATACATCCAGCTCTGTTGGCGATGATCGGCGGACCGGCCGGGCATCTCTCGCCCTCTTAGCCTGTAAACTCCGTAGCCGTAACCGCCTTGCGGCGCTGTCCGTCTGGGGGAGGAGAGAAGGGGACGGCGGGCGGGGAAAACAGTGGGAATCCCAAACTGCTGCCAAAACGTAGGTTGCAGATCACCGAGGCCGAGAAATGTCACCACCGAACAGGTTTTTTTTTTTTTCCTGCGTCGTGATGTGGGTGACCAAAACCGGATATGAGCGGCGCGGGATGGGACTGTGGGACGGAGGGGTGGGAAGACATCTGCAATGCAACACCACGGCAATTCCTATCTACTATCGACATATTAATTGCAAAGTGTTATTTGTTGGATTCTTCGCGCTCTTTTTTCTTCAACGGCCCCCAATGCTACCTACCGCAGCTTCATAGCATTGAGCAGAAGATTTCGGCTGCTTCAACCCAAAGGAGGAGCTTGTGTCCGGTCTGTGGCCAGGGGGGAGGGGTGTTGCGGTGCGGGCAGGGCCGTGAAAGTTTATCGTGTCGTGCTCGCGAAAGCAACGCCATCGGTTTCGATGCCCGCGGCGCGGCATGGACCCTTGGATTTGGACGAGGATGGAACGTTCAAGGTTTTTCTCCCCAATACCCTATAATCGCGATGCGGTGGTAAGTGGCGATGGGATTCTGGCATTGTGATACTTTTGCTTTGTAAGGGGAGGGTAGCCGAATGTAGTCGGCATTTCCGCTCTCAACCACTCACTCCCTGGCTTTTTGTCCAGAGCCACCACTGTTTAGAAGCTCATCGAAAGGGGTCAAAACTCTGTCTCGATGGGGGTGTTGCGTTCATGGTCTGGTTTGACGATGCTTGCACGACAGAGCTATTTTCAGTACAAGCTTTTTCTCTCAATAGCAAAAGCCTAGTGTGATGAAGCTGTTAGGTAAAAAATCATAGCATGCAAGGTTAGACTCTCGGGAAGAGTGAAGATAAAAAGGTTTCAACAGTCCGTTGTTTCTCTCGGACATGCGTGCTTAACACGAGTCCGCGAGTAGCTAAACGAGGTTTCGAGAAACTTTAGTCATCGCATCTCCTCTCCGTCTAGACTTTTCTCTGCCCTCTTACGAGCATATGGCTCGTTTCAGAAGCACAGCTGAAGCTTGACCGCCCTGACTAACGGACTACGTACTCCGTTGTCCGTTGTCCTTCGCAACGGAGCTTGTTGGCCGGAAGGTTCGGGGGAGCACCGCACTGGAGGGTTCCACTCTGTCTCTATGGAGGAGGGGCACGGTGCTCCCGGCCGGCGCTGTTTCGGGAGCTGCGGGTGTGCTGGCGGGGCCTCGTAAAGTTATGTGTTGGCGGATCGGGGCCGAGCGGTGCGAAGCCGAGAAGGATGCGAGGTACGGAAGAGTCTGTGGCAAGCGAATACGATGCATCCGATGGTGCCCTACACTTTGTTGGATTGTAAGAGCCAGAGACGAGAGGTTATCCGATCGGCGGCACTCGGACGGGTGAGGGCTGCGGAAGGCTTGCGGCCGGCCGAGAATGACCAGACCGATTGCCGGGTCTTGGTGTGCTTGTCCGGGCCCGTGGTCAGTGAAACAAGGGCATGCGGTGCTCTCGAGGCTTTGATGATGACCTTACGTTGACGTCAAACTGTAGGCTTCTGTCCTGGATAGTCGATTTACGTCTGGCTGCAAGATACTGTCGACATCTTATTACTTTGGGTCGAGCTTTTGTGAGCACCGTGTTATCTTTCGTAAGTAGTCAGATTTGATGCATCCTGGGAGCTGCATGCGGCAGTGACATGTATCAGGTGATAGGTTGCTCGGGGGCCGGTTGTATGATTAGAACGAAGTTGAACTAGACTTTCCAGCAGATCACGGCCTCTACTCAGGCGCTGTATTATGACAAATCAGTCATCGCCTCGACTTCCTTACCGTGCTTGTAGGTATGGGCTTGGAGGGGCTTTCCAAGTAACTAGGAGGATATGAACTGCGGGCTAGAGTGTAGTTGTGGTTCAGTATACCTTTCAGACAAAGACGTGAATTAAGTTACCCTCAGCAACATCATGAGCAGCTTCCTGCCCCTTTAGAGCCCCACCACGTTCTACGGTATCACACACGCTCAGGTAATAGACTTCAGCTGCCGCAGGTTGTCTGTTGGCTTTACAGGCCTGGATTGTTCAGTCTCAGCCAAGCTCTCACGTCGCCGAACGGAAGACATCTAGATCATTACTTCCTTCTTTGTACCAAATACCTTCAGCATCTACGAAGCTCCCAAGGGTCACGTTGTAAAGCATACCATCTCAAGGCAGGGCATCTGACAGGCGGTAGGTACTTCATCGCTGTGAGGAAAACGATGGCCATTCCCTTTTGCTCTCTGCCATGCTTCACCGTCAATCTCCGTGCCAGTCACGTCACAAATTAAGCGCGACTCTCTGGCATCTGAGTTTCCCTTTAGAAAGCTCCAAAGACAGCCAGCCACTGGACTGTCTCGAACAACAACAATGTTGCTCTTTTCTTTCGACTGCAGACCTCGGCGTCTCTCAATCAGCCCCCAAGCGCATTCTCACCCAACTTCTTCTCAGCTTGGTGCATCTTAAGCCATTTCGATGCGCTAGAAGCTTCTTTTGTATATTTTGAGCCGAAGTTTCCCAGCCTTCTGGTATCTACTCGTGTCCTACTTCGGTTCAATCAGCGAACATATGGACACCTCTCTAGGCCTTCCAAGAGTGGGGGACCACCAAGGGGCTTATTGCGGCGAAGGTCGAATAGCTTCTCCCCTAGGATAATCAAAACTCGGCCCTACGGGAGAATGATGGGGTCTTACGCTTATATAGTCCCCCGTGCCTCGGCCTCTGCTTCTGTGGCTACTCGCTACTATCGCTCCCTCCTCGGCCCTCCTACTGCCGCGGTTGCCACAGAATCAAAAGGTCTCGTTCGGATGCATCATAGACAATGCTTCAAGGTAAGATCACGTTTCTTAAGTACTTGGTTTCTTCAACGCCATAGTGCATGGTCAAAGTTACACAGGACCCAGAGAGCTTGTAGACTTCTGACTGCGTGACTAGGCATTCAAACTTCAGTCCTGGTCATGTTTCTCGATATCGATGTCGCAACTGGATCCACGGGGATTTTGAAACTCAAGTGTTTTACAGCGGCAAGAAATGCTATCACGCCAGTATACTGAGGAGGTTTAGCCATAATCGCCACGAAGTCGAAGGGTGTTTAAGGGGGCAGAGGCATCAGTGTGCTCATGGCAGTACATATGTGAATCTGTTGAAGCCCGAATCCCCTCATCGCTGGCCAAATTCAAGCAGAACGCCGTGATGTTGTTCCAAAACTGTACAGAAGCCTATCGCAATTTCAATTTTGGGAGGCTTTTTCTGTGAAAATGCCAGGAAGTCCCATCGCCGCGTATTATCCAGAGATGGGATGACCTGCGTCAATGATTGCACCAGGTCTTACAAAGCAACTTCGAAATGTGCGACGGGGATGCGTACACAATCAAACCGGGCAAGGTAGCCACCGGAAAGACAAAGGCCATGGATGAAAGCCATGGGCACGGAGCTTAGCTATCACGGCTTGCAGTATATTGAATCAATGATGCTAATCATCCCACTATACATGATCAACCGATCTTGTGCTGCCTGATATTGTCAAGGGGAATGTGCCAGTGACAGTGCCACTTCTTGGAGCATCAGCAAATCTCGAAGTCGTGGCGATGGACGCTGTCATAGCTCTGGGTGAATAAGAAGAGCTCTAGACAGCATAACTTTAGAAAACAAAATCCAGAGGTTTACTTTCAGCCTTGATGTCAAGGAAAGTGAGGCGACGCTGTCTAGCTGAAGACGAAGATTTCCATAGGACCGCTTCAAACTCCTTCAGCAATGCCTAGACTGAAATTTCGATTCAATCGATGTAACTAAGCTAAGCTATTATGCATTTCCTATCCTTCCTACGCAACAACTACGCACCCCCGGGAACTCCCAACATGCCGTATGCTATGCCGTCTCTCATCTCCTCAAACATCCAAGTTTTGTACAGTCCATTTGAATAGAATCACTATCAGCCAGGCTCAAACCATAGTGGTCTCAGTTGACCCAAGAATGAGTCTGCTTAGTGAGGGTGGCAAATCCACAGGTTGTTGTCAACAACATCAATAGCCTTGCTATCGACCTGCTTGCCACTCGCATCAAAGGGGCAGACGCGGCGAAGACCGCACTTGATATCACAGGCACCCTCGTTGTCCCCCTTGCACAGGGCAACCTCATACCGGCTGGCGTGGCGGTCGTGGTCCTTCTTGCAGCGGTTCGTGGTGATCTTGTACTGCGCGCGGGGTCCCCAGCCGTTGAGCGGCGTGAAGCCCCAGTTGTCGGTATCCTGGCCGGCCATGTTGGCGCGGCAATTCTGGTGGGCCGCGACGTGGGTGTAGCCGTTGGCGGCCATGTAGGCCTCGGTGTGCTTGTCGAGGATGAAGGAGTAGGAGGAGAAGTCGCCGTTGGACGGGATGCTGCCGGCGAGGCACTGCGGGATCACGCGGGTGTAGTACTCCTCGCAGGCGTAGGCGTTGTTGACGGCCTTGAAGTCGTTGGCGGTCGGGGAGTTCCAGGGGTCGATCTTCTTGTCCGTGACGGTTTCCATTGTGTGCTTCAAGCTTGCCGAGCCGGAGATAGGCGTCAGCTTGTTGGTCTTGGCAAAGGCCTTGGTGTCGTAGATCATGACGGAGTTGTAGTCGAAGGGGATGGAAACGTCGGCGCCCGTGTCGATTGTGAACTGGTCGAGGTCGTCCGTTTGGACGCGGTCTGTCAGGATGCGAATGTATTGGTCGCGGTCGGGGCGTTGGTGCTCATGGGTGAGTCCGATCAGATGTCCAAGCTAAAATTCCGGTATAAGTCTCTGTACATTGCAAAGATGATATGGTATATTCTTACCTCGTGGGAAGGCGTTCCGGCGTCGAGACAGGCCTTATACGTTCCGAAGGAAAGAAATTTCTCCCAAGCATTGGGGTAATCGAGATTGACGAGTCTCTCTCCCGAGCCAGGAGAGCCTAAGCCCCTGGAGAAACATCCGTCGTCAAACTAGGAGTCAGTCAGTCGCGCAGCCCAAACCATATTCTCTTTTGCAAGTATACGTTACCTTTTTGTGTTCATCTCATTTACGTAAAGTTTCAAGGCCTTCTAAATGTATCCCTCAGCAGCTATTGTGAAGTGGTCTTGGGAGCGCCACCTGCATGCCTGCTATACGGGTCTGACTTGTGGCAGGTTCCACCAGGTAGGCTGTTTAATTTTCTCTCGGAAAGAGAGTTCCGGTCCAGCGTCCATGGATCCCAACCGATCAAAGCCTAAAGTGAGAGCTCGTCACATTTTCTTTGGGAACGTTGAGAAGCGCGCGGCAAGTAAGCTGGCTATACTCTACGCAGCGGGCCGCCGCCGCCCTCACAGAGCCCTTTTGGCTTGTCACACCGCCGGAATCATGAATCACTCCTTCAGTCCGTACATCCGACCAGAATAATAGCCTTGTTATCCAGGTAAGAGCTTTGTTGCAAGGAAGCCTTTTACGTCGGCGATTACTAAAGCAAGGCATTCCATCCTCTTCTCGGCCCATTCCGGACGCTGATTGGCCCAAGGCGCCGGAGGTGCCAAGATGCCGTCTACGTGGGCTCACGCCGAAGGGACTCTGGGAGACTCGGAAAGAGGGATGGATAGTGGTCTTCTTTCTGAGATTTTCTCTCATGATCCAATTCCGGTTGGTGAGGTCTCCTGCTCACTACCAGCACGCATATATCACAGCATCACTATAGAGGAACGAAGAAGCAGCGGTGCTGCTAGGCTATTTATTAATCTCAGATTGCCTACCTTACCATGTGTTCGTAATCTCAAAAGCCGCTTGCGGAACTGCTCTGGAAAACCCTGACTTGTAGCAGTGCTATGTAGTCGAAAGCTGAGGCTTCATCGTTAACGAAGGACATGAGGCAGGGCGTTTGATACAAATGACCATTAGACGTCACGGAATCAAAACCCGTTACACATGAAGATAGGAAGAAAAAAAAAAGAGTTCACCCCCCCGGTGCTGAATTGGGAGTTACATCTCTTGGTGCTCATGCTGGAAATCGAACTCGGAGCCTGTCGTCGAGTAGGCATGTATTGGGGCGAATTAATTGTTGACCTTGATACCACTCCACCACCCAGCCAGTTTGACCTGACCCGTCGACCTAGACGGGCGCCGTCTGGCTGGTGACAGGAATGGCGTTGAGGGGGTATATATGGGCTCCTTCCCATGTGTATTCAGTAGATGGGATGAATACGCATTTGTACACGGGATCATTGTCCCTCGCCCATCTCGGCTGGAACACAGAGAGTGGTCAGCCAGTTGAGTTCAAGAACGTAAGGGAACCAGCCTCTCCTTTTTCGTGCTTTCATAGTCATGGGATAGTTTTGCTACTTCTCATGCTCCAACCAGATACGACGATGCTCTATGATGATCAAGACCAGCTGATTAAAGAGTCAATATTTGCTTTTTACGCAACGAGGCTCCTCTCAATGATTTTTCCAAGTCATTGGGAAGTCGAGTTCGGTTTATTCATTGCCTATGCAAAGTAGGAAGGGATGACTTGAATTTGTCTTCATCAATAAACATGGCGTCTCCCTTTACACCTATGACTGACTCGACTCCCATGGAATCACTTTCGTCTTTTATGCCGACGTCAGCAAGGAGCACTCTAGTCTACACGCCGCGGATAGTGATCCTGTCACTTATACATCAAATCAACATAACAGTCATGTTGGCAGAAAACGCTCGAATGTTTCAATTTGTGGGCATTGACGTGACTGCCCCTTTTTGTCTATTCGCACCATGCAATCTAGGTATATCCTCCTCAAGTCGTAACCAACAACTATACAACAACGAATCCAACAAGGCGCCATCGATGAAGTAACCCGTGCCCGTCTAATGCGTTATGAACCCCTAATCGCAAGCATGTAAATCGTTCATGAGCAAAGGAGAAAAGAAAAGCCGCATTCCTGCACAGGTCCCTTATCCGTGGATGCGCCTTTCCAGAAAGAAACCCGCTTAGCTTCGTGTGGCCTGTTTCAAACCACCGTGTGGCGCCTTCGTCATGTCGTTCAGTAAACACTGCCCAAGATACTCCTGTCCCGCTTCTCCGCGGCGTCAATGTCATCCTCGTCTGCCTCAGAGCCTCGATGGCTGCTATTGGTATCGCCAAGGCGGTTGGCGCGGCGCCGCCGGCTCTTCTCGTCTGATTGCTCATCTTCGGTGTTTGGTGTCATGTTTCCTTTGGTTTGACCACCGACGATGCTGTTGATACTGCCGTTGGCGCCGTTGGCGTCTCCATTAGACACAATGCCAACCTTGATCTTGGTCACGGCTGTGACCTCCGGTCTGTGGCCATCCTCCTCGGAAGAGTCTGTGTCACTGCCGGCAATCGAGGTCTGTCCGGAGAAAGTTCCGCCAAAATCACGGCCAACGTTCAGGTGCGGCGAGATCATGCTCCGTAGACGATCTTCGGCAGAGATAAAGGATGGGGTTCCATCGGGAGATGAAACAACTTCATGGCGAGCTCGGGTGACGTCGATCTGCGGTGGCCGGCCATCGCTGTCGGTGCCCTCGTCGGATGTGTATCCCTGCTCGCATCGCTTAATGGGTCGCCGTCCTGGTGCAGGGGACTGCCGACGGGATACAACAGACCCATTAGAGGTGACTTCGTCCGTTCGGCGAAGGGCTTCCAGGTCGTCTCGCCTCTGGTAGTGGCTCTTGTGATTACACCCGTTAGGACAGCCACCCCAGCGCCGCGTGACGATGAAGGTCTTACTGCGTTCGAGAAGAGTACCGTTCTTGGCATCCTTGGTGGACCTTTCCTGGTTTCCCTCGACCTCGCTACGTTCCTTCTCCTCCTTCTCCTTTAACTCGGCCCGCTCCTTGCGTAGCTCTGACCATGTCCGGAGTTTATTCTCGAGGATGTACTTGCCGCTCTCTTCTTGCTTGCGCATGATGAGAAACTCGCAGTGGTTGACGTTCCGCAGGTCCTCAAAGTACTCGACAGTGAAGTGATACCACTTCATCAAGAACACCCGGGACATGAGGCCGTGGGTGACTAAAGGAGTTAGCAACACAAGGCAAAACGGCTCGGAGGTGTCCGGCATACCTAATACACAAACGCTGGCAAAATCATTCTCGCCAAACTGACGCCACAGACTCTCATTGAAGCCACTAACTCTGTCGTAGGCGTCTGCGGCGCTCTCGCCATTGGGGATGCGGTAGAAGAAATGGCCGTAATCGGCACGCTCTTGCCACATGCGTTCCATTTCGGCGGAGCACGGCTGGAAGTTACCAAAGTCCTGCTCACGCAAGCGAGGTTCCTCGTAGACCTTGATGTTGGAGCGCTTGAACGGAGAAGGATCCTCCTCGTCGGATGTCAGAGTCGAGAGAATGCCCTCGGTTGTCTCGCGAGTCCGGCGGTAGGGGGAAGTAAAGAAATGCAGTGTGTCATCGGCACGCAGTAACTTGCGCAGGTTGCGGCCAGCTTCGTAGGCTTGTTGCCAGCCATCTTGTGTCAACTTTACTCGGTGGTCGGGTATCGTTTGGTGAATATCGCGGTTCTCTGCGTTGTGAAAAACAGTTAGCAATCCGGTCGAACGGAGATATCTCGGACCAAGGGAAACAGAGAAAGAAAGAGAGAGTCGCACTGTTGCCCTCTGACTGAGCGTGCCGAATGAGGATGATGAGCCTCGGTTTGACCATGATGTCGGGTTGTGGCGGGTGTGTTTTCCGGTTTGTAATCGGGATCAGGCGCCTAGAAGTTGTTTGGAGCGGTCGACAATGTGGTTGTCGGCGGTGTAGTGAGAGAGGTGGTTGTGGTTATTGTAAGAAGCAAGAAGTTCTTTATTGCCCGAAGAATACCATTCAGAGAAGTGAACAAAGCTCTGTGCAAACAAAATGGACGCGAGCCTCTTGTCGCAAAAAGTCGTAGCGTTGGGAACCTTGTTGACCGGGAAGGATGTGGAAGTGTAGGGGAAAGAATGAGGCGTGGCGGGGCAAAGGCAGGAGAGTGGTAGACGTGGGGCGGATGCTAGTCGCAGAGGCAAACCTTGGGATGGGGCTGCCGTTGTACGTGTATCGCTTTATGCCAACCTTAACCTTAGGAACGGACGGGGAGAGGGATGGAGCCTGCTTTAGTAGTGTGTAGACGTTTCCGACCAGCAGGTTGAAGAGGTTGAGATGGGTTGAGTTTGGGTTGAAGGTGCAAGGAACGTAAGGCGTAGCAAGGAGTGGTTTAAGTGGGATGGAATGGACATGTCTGTCATTGCAAGAGAGAAGTCTCAGGGGTGTTTTTTTGGAGGGGAAGTGTGACTCTCAGGGACTCTCTTGGTTGTCTGATGCATCCACCATCACTGACTGCATGCATGCGATACGTATCTTGCCCATGCCACTGCCGCTATGAGTGACAATGATCAACTCCCGCATAGGGGCATGAGGACTGTACATCAATCGACGGCGTGTTGCCCCTTGTGTGCCAGGTATTTTTGGGTATTGCCATGGCAAGCCGCAAGCCGCAAGCCAGCCGCAAAACCGCAAATCTCCTGTAGGAGGTATACTAGAGAAAAGGACCCCTCGTCCCACCCAAATGAATGACAGTCAAACAGACCCATCCACACTCTGCCCTGTACCTTTACCAGAGACAACCCAATCGACTTGGGCTGGCTCTTTAGGTATTCCGCGGGGGCTTAAAGACAGGCAGGGCCGTCCCCCCTCCAAGTTGTTCCAACAGGCCACGGCCCCTGGCCATCTCTTGCTCTACAGCGGGGTACATCGGAAGATCTCAACGCCCTGTCAGCCAACCAGACGTCAGAGGCAGGGCTCGAGCGGCACCTTGAGACAGGGAATGTGCAGCCCCTGATTGGCGCACCTACCCTCCGACAAGCGGCGAGGCTGTATGCCCCACCTTGCGGCGGCACGGCGGCACTTGCAATTTTTTATCCTTCCTTTCTCTTTCACTTTTTATGAGTACCTTTGCCTAAGGTAAGGTAGGTAGGTTCTCTCTGAATGGGTCTGCGAATACGGACATCCATTCACGGATTGTAATCTTGTAAAAAAAGAATGGAGGGGAAACGGGGTCTGCCGGCACTACTTACTTTTGTCTTACCTGCAGAACCAAAGTGCCCGCATTCCTGGTGAAGCCATACTACAACCCCAAAATGCATCTTCATCCAACAGACGAAGAGCAAACCGCATACATTCTGTTGGACGTTGTGGTGCGACTCCTCTTTCTGCAGTCTTCCCAACCAATATTCCCTTCCTGTGATTGTGATTCACTCATCACGTCCATCTTGACGCCTGACAACCAACATCACTGCAACCCCATACATACATAGTAAGGTAAACTCAAAAAAGTATGTGTATCCGTACCGAGTGCTTGTGTCACTCAAATTCCGCACCTCGTCTGGCTCAAGCGTGGTTCATCTGCATGCTCCGATTAGGCGCGTTGGCCAGAACCGCCCATTCCCAGCACTGTCATTCGATATTCAATCTTTGTTCCCCACCTCATCCACACAACCTTGCCCACACCTTGCAACTCCCGTCGCCCCCAATCACCTTGCTTCATTTCCTCAGCCTTTCCAAATGGCAAACAGGCAATCGCACACCTCGCCGCAAACGTGCTTGACTCTTACCGGTTCTTACCAACAGGCAGGTCAGAAACAGCAGGCAGCCGCCGCCACCCCGGCCCATCTCCTAGCCGCCCACAACCGACCGACCTCTCACCACACCACCGCGCGCGAATCTTTTCCCGCTTAGATTACCTTACCTTACGCCGCGCGCGCGCGCCTCCATCTCGCGATCTCTTGTGGTAGCTCACAATCAAACATCAAGTCACCAACATTCAATCACCCACTTCACCCACTCCAACAGTCAGTCACACTCTGCCTAGACCGGGGAAGACTGCAACGCAAACCACCCAGCTACGTACGCAGACGGCTACCATCACATGCGCCTTCCCGCCCGCCCGTTTTGCATAACCCATCGTATAGCTGCTAGCAAAGCGCAATCACCGTAGCCGGGCCTACCAACGTTCCTCCCCCCCAGATCAGCCCATTCCACATCCAGCCTCATCCCACAATCATACGACTCTCCTCCGCCAATCTCAAAAGCTGCTCAACGCAACCGCCCACCGCCGAATCCGCAGGATCCGGTCCTCAACCGACGGACCGACCTCCCTTCCACACCCCGAACACCACCGGCCGCAACAGCAGCAGCAAAAATGTCCGGCGAAGGCCCCGAATCAATCCCCACCTCAGCGGACCCCCGCTCCCGCCGCCCAACAAAGAAACGCGCCCTCACCCCCGTCTCCGAACACGCAAAACACCTCGAGACCCTCTTCTCCAAACCAGACCAAGAGATCCGTCTCCCTTCCGATCCCGGCGCCGTCGCCAAACGCGCCGTCGCCGCCCCGCCCGAGATCGTCACAAACGTCCAAGGTTCCTCCGCCGGCGCCGGCTCCGGCGAGTTCCACGTCTACAAGGCCAGCCGGCGCCGCGAGTACGACCGCCTGCGCGCCATGGACGACGAGGTCAGACAGGAGAAGGAAAACGACGAGTTTGAGCGGCAAAAGGCCGAGCGGGCTGCCAAGGACGAGGAGCGCACGAGGAAGAATCGGGAAAAGAGGGATAAGAAGAAGCAAAAGGGTAAAAAGGGACCCGGTGGTGGTGGTGGTGGTGCTGCTGCTGCTGCTGGCGTGGCAAAGGGAGGAGCTGCAGCCGCTTCTTCGTCAAGTGGTGGTGTCGCCGCAAGGGCTGCGGCGGAAACATCTACAAACAAGGAGGATGAAGATGCCAAGGATGATAAGGACGGCAAGAGCAAGGGCTCAGAGACGGCAACGACCTCGTCAGGAGCTGCTCAGCCCCCGGGTATCGTGATCCACGACGAGGACTGATTCATCGTCCCGTGGTTTTGGAGGGCCCCTTGGACCTGAGCCTGGGTCTTGGGGTTCGGTTGCTGTCGAGCTTTGAGCTCTTGTTTTCAAGCTTGAACATAAGCTTGGCGTGACCAAAAATAACTTCAGACCAAACACCAAATGTTCGGTGGGTCCCGCGCCCAACTTAAACATTGATTTGACAAGACAGGAGACACAAGACAGGGGGGCATTTTCAGAAAAGCATGAGCATCAAAGCTTTTTTTGTCCTTTGGAGATGTCCCGAGAACTTCAGTCGTCTAGGTAATTTCTAATCCCATATCTATGCATCCATACAGGGGTATGACCTTTTTTTTCATCTTCATCACTGCTCATTGCAACCGCTCTCCCGTCTTCGTCATGAAAAATACCGGATCCGACTAACGTCAACAGGCATCTTATTCGTCGCCACCTCCGTGCAGGCCGTTGCCCATTTGCGCTGCCTTTCTTGCGCTGCAAATGTCGTCTACTCTGAGGAGCAAGCAAGCGGACTGTGAGCCATGTATTAGTATTGTTGAACAATGTGTAAAAGATAAAGAGAAAAGAGGGGCAAAAATCGTAAACCAATGTAGACATACCTCAATCGCCGTCTTGATGCTCTGCAACTTGATAGCCTCCGGCTCCCACACACCGTACTCCTTCATGTCGGCGACAACGCCAGAGTCACCGTTGATACCCCACGAGTGCTTGCCCTCTGCGTGCTTGGCGCGCAGGTCAGTCAGTACTCTGACGGGGCTGGCACCGGCGTTCTGGACCAAGGTACGGGGGATAACCTCAAGGGCGTCAGCGACGGCCTTGTACGGCCATTGCTGGACACCCTCGACGCCCTTTGCGAGCTGGCTCAACCGCACCGAGACGGCCATCTCAGTAGCACCACCACCGGGGGAGAGTCTGGGGTTGAACATGACGTTGCGAGCAACACCCATGGCATCCTGCAGGTTACGCTCAATCTCGTTGAGCACGTCCTTCGACGGGCCGCGGAGGAGCACTGTGCAGGCCTTGGGGTTCTTGCATCCGGTGAGGAAGGTGAAGTACTCGTCGCCAATCTTCTCAATCTCAAACAGGCCGCAGAGCGTGCCGACATCGGAGTCCTGGATGTCATCGACGCGGTTGACAATGGTGGCGCCCGTCGCTCTTGCTATTCTGTTGTTGTCCGTCTTGCGAACGCGGCGGAGGGCGGTGATGTTAGCCTTCATGAAGTAGTGCTGAGCGAGATCTGCAGGATGTTAGCCCTCATTCCCCAATACCTAGCCGACAATAAGACGCACCTGAGACACCCTTCTCGGTAATGACCAGATCGGGCTTAAGAGCAATAATACCCTCGCACATAGCCTTAACCTGCTCCTCCTCAATCTGCAGGATACGGTTCCAGTCCTCCTCCTTGGAAATCTCGATATTGGTCTGCGACTCGCCCTTCTTGTACTCCAAGGGGCAGTCGAGGAGGACGATTCTGGGATTCTCTATTCTCCGGCGCATCTTGGGATGGGTGATGTCCTTGTTGAGCATGACACCGTCTAGCACTCTGCTGTCCTCGATCTCACCGCCCGGCACCTTCTCCACACGTGCGTATCTCTTGATGTCGACCTCGGTTTTTCCGTTGCCGGCCTCCCAGGTGACGGTGCGGACGGCGCGGAGAGCCAGGTCGCACATCAGGTCGGACCATCTCGAGACGAACTTGGTGCCGATAGAAGAGGAAATGAGGCCGCGCATGGCCTTGTCGTCGTTGACATCGATGGGGAGGGAGATATCGTCGACGATCTCGAGGGCGTCCTTCAGCGCGCGGCGGAAGGCGGCGATGATCTGGACGGGGTGAATGTTACGCTCGAGCTGGGGGAGGGACTGCGCAAGCATCTCGCCAGCTGGGCCAGGTCAGTCTCTGGCTTTATAAGCAGGATAGCTTTCAGGGGCTTACCCAGAATAATGACCGTTGTTGTACCATCGCCAACCTCTTCGTCTTGTGTCCGGCTGAGCTCGATCATGCTCTTTGCTGCAGGGTGCGAGACCTCAATCTCTCTGAGGATGGCATGGCCATCGTTGGTAAGGACGATACCGCCCATGGGGTCGAGGAGCATCTTCAACATAGCCTTGGGACCCAAGCATGATCGAATAATGTCGGCGACGCTGATGGTGGGGTTAGCGAGTGTCTATGGAGTTTTCGAAAGAACATCGTACGTCTTGGCAGCCGCGATGTTGGACATCTGGGCCTTGCGACCCGTCTGCCGTTCACCGGCACCGGTGTCTGTAGAGTACGCAGTTAGTAGCTGATCGTGATATTTGGGGGGGTAAGCTAGTCAGAGCTCTGGGGAAGGAGGGGCTGCCATACTCATTACCACTACTGGAGCCTGCATGGTTGTGCGACAATGATTTTAAGAACCTCAATAGAAAATTGGTGTCGTCGAGAGGATGTGTGTTTGGCGAAGAGCTTCACCGTTGCAGAGGAAACCGTGGAGATGGCGGGGGTGGTGGTGCTGCTGCTGCTCAAGGCACCGGGCTTCTAAAAAGTTCGCTGGGCGGGTTTGTTTTTTGGCGGGATGAAGCTGGAGCTCGGCGGAACCTTTCCCCCGGCTTCACCGAGCTTCACCTGGCTTCTGACTTAGCACACCGATGGACCCACCTTTGACAACGTCCCATACTCTACCCAGGAGTAATTCCAGCAGAAGTTTGGGGCCAGGGGATTTAGCAAATTCTCAGGAGGAACGAAGAGGAAAAGTACCATAGGGTCTTGTTACATACCCAGGGCCCGCTCGCAAGACGAAGGGTTACTCAGCCAGCAGACTTGCCCCTTAGTGACATAACCCCCTATGAAACAGTAAATAGGGCTTCTGTCGAGAGCATCCCCCCTCCCGAGCGGGTATTCCTCTTCCAGCCGGAGTTCTAGGACTTGAATACTTCCCGGAAGTCAGGTATGCTGTACTTAGACTTGAATTATTTTCCATCTCGTCATAAAAGGTCGGGGGAACGTGGCCGAGGGGTATGATAGGAGGGTCTTTGTATTAACTTGAAAGTCCTCGAGCCTCACTCTACCTTACCTTTTGCTCGATTCCCAGTGAAGTCATTCTTTTCGGTCTCTTCTCTCTCCTACATAGCCATGAATCACTCAGATGGCTCACTAGAACGATGAACTGGTAAGCACCAATCAACCAAATTCAGCTACGGAATACTCGCTCTCACTGCCCTCAGAGTCCTTCTGAGCCTCTGCCAGTCCGCTGTAAAGAGATTCCATGCCATGTCCTAGACGTCCATGCCCTAAACCATTGAATTCCTCATTATTTGACGCAACTTCTATCTCTTGCGCATTCTCTGCTTGCAATTCGGCCATTTCCCACTCGACCCCCAACTGCTATCTAGCGTGTTGGTCCTACCAATGGACTTCGTTGCGAAGCCCAGAACTTTTAGAAGGAGCCGTGTTGCCTTGATGTCTGTTATTTTGCCCTCTAATCAGACCTTGCGGCCTGATATTATGTTGAGATTGCGACGACTCATGCTGCATAGGCGTCCACCTTGACTGAGACGCCCGAGCAACCGGGGCAAATTCTTGCCAATCACCCTCAAAGGTAATGTCTACGATGCACTCATCGCTCGCCATGGCGTCCTGGAGTGATTCCCACCGCACTTTGTCGGCGTCTGCCGCCAAATTAAAGCGGTCCCAGAACTCGGCCTTTCTCAGCAACAACGTACTCTTGCTGACACGCCTGTCTGTTTCTTTCCAGGGAAGACCAGTCACATCCGATGCGCAGAGAAAGTCGTCAAGTGTGCTGTCATCCGGCATATAACCCTTTTTGGACCCGGTCACGAAGATTGGCACGCCGTCTCCAGAAATCTTCAGCCTCATCTTCACATCCTCTAAACCTGAATCGACCCTCCCAATGGTAAGCTTGTCAAAATCACCAAGCTGTGGAGGTTCCATCTTGTCCAGTTGCTCTTCCATGATGGGCAGTGGCTTGCTGGTGTTCACCACTACTAGGATGCTGTCACAAGGTATAGCAACCTTGATGAAAGATTGTGGCATTGGTGTCAGTTCGATCGGAGCTGGGCCATTGACTTGGGCCAGAGGCTTGGTTATCTCGATGCATACCCATCTGCGTTTCACTCCGTTGATATCGGTGCTTGGATAAAGTTTTAGCTAGGCCATGTGTCGAACAAGGACGAAATACTTACATATCCAAGTCTATCAATGACAGTTTGTGTTTCCGATCACGTTCAAAGAATCTCTCTGTGGTGAAACTCGAGTCATCGTCGTCGTCTCCTGCATCAGTACCCAGGGCCCCCCCCGGAAACGACTTTTGCCCGTTGTTCTCCCTTTGGAAATGTACGTACTGTATCGAACGCCTCCGATAACCGTTCAATTCCATAGACCTGGCTTGAAAGGCGCTGAAGCTCTTGTTCATTGACATGCCGTGGTAGCTGGGTTGCCACTCGATATTCATGATCTGATCGGCCCGCCGCCGAGCAATTACTCCGGGAATACTGTGGACGGTCTTGTTGTATGGACGTGATACTGCCGTAAGCCTGAGAGAGGCCCCTTTGCTGTTTACTGATGAGCGAAATATTCTCTATCGACAAAAAGATAGCTTACACAAACATCGATCTGACTCTGATGTAAGCGTTATACATGTCCCACCACTCGTTGGCATAAGGCGGGCTTCTGTCTGGTAGAGTAACTTCCATGGATGGAAACCCCAAACGCCGTTTCTCATCTTCAGCAGCGTTGATAACTTCCTTCCGTCTTAATGACTTCGGCAAGGCGAGGGCAAGGTCGGTCATATCGATGCCACCAAAAGCCATGATATCGTTTCGAGATTCATGTCGTAAACGGGCTGGGTCTTGTTCAACCTTGGCTCGGTACTCGTCCCTGCGTTGTAACCCAGTTCGGAGTCCTAAAATTAGCTTCTCCTGAACGCTCATGTCAGGCTTGAGGTCGGACATCTTGGCGAGGTTGTAGCCGGCATCGGTTTCGACTTGGATATTTGCTGGGTTTCGGCAAAGCGACGCCACGCCTAACACTTCTGTTAAGCAAGGAAACCCAAATGTTTTGCATATTATTCTTACTGTGACGGGAGACTTCAGGGAAGCAGCCGAGACGAGTTGGCCGCGGTGGGCGAAATTCTGGGATTGGGGCTGCGATATATTAGCGATGAAATTTCTCTTTCGGAGACAAAAATCTGTAGCCATAGGCCAGCCACAACCCTTTAAGCCATTGCCTGAACTTCCGACCGCCATGGTTCTTCTGTGTCTTCGTATATATTGATGTTGTCGCTGTTCTGGCCTTGTTCCCATCATCACCCGCGGTGCTGCACTGGGCACGACCACGCTCGAACGGTTTCGTTGTTCGACTCGCTTTCTTTTAGGCGCGTTGTGCTCACCTTCGCTCGCACGCCTCTTTCCACGTTGAACCCAGGGCAAAGTCATGTTGTTGACTGCTTTACTCGTGGCCGGTTAAGGAGTATGCCGTGGTGTTGTACTTGGTGAGACTTGCGTGATGCCTCGAGATGAATGGCGACTAGACCCTACGCGTAAACTAGCAACGGAAGGAGCTACCTTTCAATTGAGCTCCGGTGACTGTTTCAGAATTGCGTATATCAGTTGATTTCGCTTGGAGGCTCGAAAGGATCGGGGAAGGCCGGTATCAGAGATGTAAGCCACCTAGCGCCGAGTGATCCGGTCGGGAGGTTGTTTGCAAGTAGTGTGTGGTATAAATGACTGAAAGTTGAAGAGGAAGGGAGGTCTTGCGCTCCATAAAAGTACTAAAAGACAAGATCAGGATTAACGACTGAAGAAAGGAAAGGAAGCTATTCGCGGCCACTTTGAAGCGAGTGTTGGGATGGACGGTCCGAAGGTAGCAGATGCAGCGAGGAGGTGCGAGACAAATGAATGGACGGCCGTCATCGAAAGAGGAAAGAAGAAGAGAGAATCGATAGGTCTCTCGCGTTCCAGTCTTCGAGGCAAAGAAAATAACAGGTTGTGGGTTGAGAGTAGCGAAAGAACTTTGACGGTGGGGGTGGTAAGGCTGAATCTTCAACCATCACCCTCCTGCCTGGCGTCGCTCTCGAGTGGAAAGTGGCCTCCAGCTTCAGCCTGGATCCGGAAATCAGCGAAATAAATCACTTTGAAGTGGGTTCAGTTGGCAGAGTCGGACTAGGCAAGAGTAAGGCCGGATCACCTAGACCTTCTGTCTCTCTCCAGTGTCTGGGACACTGCCTCGTCCGAATGGTAGAGTGGGTAAGACCTGTAGAATGCTATATATTAAGAAAGAGAGGAAAATAGTGGAGGAAGGTTGCTTGGATTTGCTCTACAAAGCAGGAACAAAGCGGTCCCAACCTGAGGTTGAGTCAATAAGCCAGCTTCGACGACACCACGAATTTGCCTGTCTGACTTGAGCCTCACTCAGCGCTTTGAAATTCGACAGCCACATAATTACCTCACATACACGCAAGCTGAAGTAGCTATGTAATTTTTAGCGTCATTGAATGTATTGAGATATCGTCTTTCAATCACAATTACCGCCATCTCTGCCCACAAACCCTACCAAGCACACAGCGAAAGTATCCATCTCCTCTCCCAAACGCAGGCCACTCATCGAGCTGCGTCCTTACGTATTGGCTGATCTTCGTGCCTGGCCTGACCCATCCTATACCCAACATGTAGGCACCTGATCAGAACGATTTCCGTCCATGCCTCTACTGCAAGTCCGGTGTTGGCCCACACTTTGGACGCCATGCACATACATCGCCAAAGCTACGACGACATGTGTCATCCCTGTCGTGAGTCCGTAAGAAGAATATAAGCTAATGTATAATCCTGAAGTAACTCCCTTTTGCAATAGACCCTCCTCTAGAGGTACGTCTCTATGATGGTATCCGCCTCGAAGCAGTTGTACACAATGAGCAGAAAGGACCATATTAATCATGATGAACCTGAATCTTTCGTGAATCCCCGAAACTCCTGTTTTCCCCAATGCCATGCCTTGCTAGTATGAACCCCATTTTTGTGTATTTGAATGTAACCGTGTAGTGCGGGCGCCTATGCTATTGCAGCAGGCAGAAGTGTTTGAGGGACGAGACTTGGTAGTCCCGCCTCTTATTGTTGTTTATCCTGGTTTTGCGTCTTTCTCTAGGCTTCAGAAGAACCTGGACATGGCTCTGCTGAGATCAATGAAGTCGACGGGCTTGGTAACGTAGTCGCTGAACCCGGCCGCAACGCATTTGTCCTGAACATCGGACATGACATTGGCCGAAAGCGCAATGATGGGAAGCTTCTTGAACCCTTGCTCTTTCTCCCATTGTCGAATTTCTCGGCAGGCCTGGTAGCCATCCTTGCGTGGCATATGCAAGTCGCACTAGAAAGTTAGTCAGCAGAGCGACACGTCTTGCGAGATGACGAGCACTTACGAGTATCAAGGAGTAGTAGTTGTGGGCGTGACCAAACACCATTTCGGTGCACTCAGCGCCATCGGCGGCCACTTCAACCTCCACGCCAACCTTCTTCAAGTACTTCTGTAGAACCTTCTGGTTCACAGGGTTGTCTTCAACCAGTAGCACCTTATACCCTTTGTTGCCCATACGTTTTCCAATCTCCTGGTAGCTCGCCTTCTGAGTTTCAACCATACGTTGTGCAGTTGAGCGGTTCCGATCAACGCTCAGATCGCGGACCTTGTCAGGATCAAAGATGACGGCAAACCTCGATGGCTTGACAGGTTTGTAGATGAAAGTGACAATGTTTTCTGACACAAGTTTCTCATACTTCGTATCTGTCGCAAGTCTCATTACAGCTTGCCGTTGGACTGAGTCTGATAGAATGAGGATTGTCGTATTGTTGATGGTTGTCGACTTTGTAATCTGCTCCATGAGGCCGATAATCTCCTCTGGAGACGGCAAGTTGAGGACGATGTGAGTGAAATTGACAGACTCCTCTCCCCCAAGCAACTTCTGCGCCTTTTCGGTAGAGTCTAGTGCTGTGATTTGATGAGGCACATCCTTGGGCAGAGTCATCTCGATGTGTTGTGCCGTGGCTTCACGACTATGAGTCTGAGGGCAGATGATGAGGATGGAGTACATAGGAGGCTTCAAGTCTTCAGGCTTTGTCGGTTTGGAGGTCTCGGGTGTAGGCGTTTTGCCTGGTGAAGACTCGCTGGAAGGTAGCTCGAGCTTCATCTGTGACAGATCTTGGCCACTTGCTCTTGCTGCTTCGCTGAAGTGAACCAGTCCAACGTTGATCGAGGACACGGACGTAACGGACGTACGCTCCGTAGCCCGAGAGACGCCAGACTGGACCGATGGAGCTGAACTTCCGCTAGAAGCAATAGCAGGCGACGTGAACTCAGTGTCAGTCTTGGGGCTGCCTGTTGATGCGGGCGTAGGTGAGGGCAAGTTCTTTGAAGGGCGGATAATAGCCACATCTTGAGTCGCATTGGAAGTGGGTTGCAAGCTCTCAGGACTCAAGGGTGCATCAGGATGATCCTCCTTTGTCGGCAAAGCAAACTTGGCAGTGAAGGTGAACGTTGACCCTTTTCCAGGGACAGCGCTACCTTCCATCTTACCTCCGTGCAGTTCCACCAACTGTCTCGAAATGACTAGTCCAAGACCACTTCCGCCATGCTGTCGGGTACTGCTTCCATCGATTTGGCTGAATGGCTTGAAGATGAGATCTGCCTCCTCCTTAGAGAAACCGCGGCCTGTGTCAATGATGGCGAACTCGAGCATGATCTCGTGCTGGTCCTGGGTCGAATCTTTGTTGGTATGAACCCTGCATCGACTGAAGACCTCTCCCTCGGCAGTGAACTTGATGGCATTGCCAATGACGTTAAGGAGCACTTGGCGAATCCGGACCTTATCGCCCTTGACCCAAGCCGGAACATCCTCCTCCACGATGTAATTCAGCTCTAGCCTTTTAGCAATAGCCATGGTGGAGACCAACTCATTGACATCCTCAATGAGAGAGCGGGTATGGAACCATTCGTATTTGAGCTTCATCATTCCGGCATCGACCTTCGACAAATCCAGAATGTCATTGATGATCATCAACAGACTGTTAGCACTCGTCTGGATGGTGTTGGTGTAGTCTCGCTGCTCTTCGTTGAGAATGGTATCTTGCAGGAAGCTGACCATTCCTGAAATCCCAATGAGTGGCGTCCGGATCTCGTGCGACATGTTGCTCAGGAATCTACTCTTAGACTCCATAGCCTCCTTGAGTTTGGCTTCAAGTAGTTTGTGGTCGTTGATGTCCGTAGCTGAGCCAAAGTAGGAGCTGGCTCCATTTCCAAAGTCAATGTTGTCGATCTCGACGCACCGGATTAGGTGCCATCTGTACTCTCCATTCTTGGATCGTAACCGCACCTCGGTCGTGTATGATAGTCTGCCGTTGCTGTCGGTTGTCACTTTGATAATACCCTGCCTGGCCAAAGCCGTCAAATCAGCGGTGGGCATCTCGTAGACCGAGCTACTGCTCGAGCTGTTATTCCGTGACAAGGCTTGGTGGATGCCTCGAAGGTTGGTTTCCATCTGGCTTTGCGTTTTGCCCGATACAAGGCTGGCCAACGTCGCCTCAGATGACGCTGGGTCTTGGTGCCCTGTACGATCGAACTTGAAGGGCATCGGCGTTGGTGGTCTGTCTGTGGGTATGTGGCATTTGGCCAGGTCATCAGGATGAACAAAGTCCATGAAACCCAGGCCGAGGCAGTCTTCGAAACTCTGCCCCGTGTACGACAGCCATTGCTCGTTGGCAAAAGTAATACCTTCGTCTTCAGTTGCAGTGAATATGATTTGAGGGATGAGATTGGCCAGAAGTCTGTGCTTTGCTTCTGAGGCCTCAATCTCCTCTTGCCGTGCAGCCTTAAGTTCCGCAATATGTTGGTCATGGATATCCATGTAGGAGCCGAGGAATTGCATCATGACTCCACGTTTATCGCGGGACGCAACAGCACGAGCATAGAACCATCGGTAGGCCCCATCAAAGCGTTTGATGCGAACAGTCCTCGAGAACTGTTCACCAGTGCGTAAGGAATGGCTCCATGCCTTCAGATATTCATCTCTGTCGTCTGGGTGAATGCTGCCCCAAGGATCGGCAGCCAGATCAGAGACTGTCTGACCGCGGTAGGTAAGGTAGCGACTATTGACCCAGACGATTTCGCCTGACTGCGGCAGCGAGACAAAGACGTGAGCAGGCAAAGAGTCTAGTATGAGACCCTTGAGACGATCTGATGGCGGTGGCATGTCTACTGGGCCAACATTTATGGAGCCTGTTCGAGTCGGAGCAGTGTGGGGTACCGGTCTACTGACCACACTTGAGCTAGGTGGTAGCGATTGGAAGCTCGTCGCAAAGTCGGCACCGTAGGAATGCAAGAGAGTGTGATGACTGCCGTCGGAACTTCTCTGGTCAGCTGACTTGAGTCGAGGTTCGAGCACAGCGATTTC